TCTCTTGACCATTGGTGTAGTAGAACCAAAAACCACATCTTTATTTTTTGTAATAAAGTAACAGTTATAGGTATTCATATTTATAATATTTATCCACATGTTTCTAGTTTGTATATTCGGAATACGTGTTTGAGTTTCATACAAGTGCAAATCACATATGTTCTAATAAATTATATTCAGTAGCGATTTTAATTGAATATTTTGATTATTTATTTATTTTTTCAAATTAAAACTGAACTTTATTGACTGTGTCCTTTTCCAGACTTTTTATTAATTTATTGTAATTAATTATTTGCATGCAATTAAAAACTAAACGATGCCAAAGAAGGATAACTTCTCACGCGCCTACATAAGTACACGCACCCATTTTTTTTATGTTATAGGGGGCATACGAGCAGACGGCTCACCTGATAGTAAGTGATCACCGTCGCCCATGGACACTTGCAACACCAGGAGTATCACAAATGCAATGCCGGCCTTTAAGGAAGGAGTACGCTCTTTTTTTGAAAGTTCTTGGGTTGTATTGGTCCGGAAGCACTGCTGGCGACAACATATTTCACAGTTTTTACAGTTGCTAATTTCATAATTATTTAACTTCCTTAAGGCATTTTTCAAAGACATACCTTGTATTACCATAAATAACAAACTAAAATGAATTTTTGTAATAGCAACAATGAGTCAGAAAAGTTATTTCGCATTTAATCTTTACGAAGTTCGCGAAGTTCCTTTTTATTATAGATATTAACGGGATTGTTACCATGTACCTTGTTTTTTATGAGTCTCCGATATTTCGGCACTGTTGCAAGCGCCATGAACACGGAGTTCCTTTTTATGTGTACTTATGCATATTATTTGACGACCTCCGTGGCCGAGTGGTTTGTACGCCGAGTTTCATGGTGTCGCCGACTCGAGAGTTCCCGGGTTTGAATCCTGGTGGGGGCAGATGTTAGTGTGATGAATACGAGCATTTGTACTCCAGTCATGGACGTTTAATATATATTTCTATATAAATTTACTTCTATTATATGTACAGTATATGTATTCTATCCTTTACCCTAGTATCCCATAACACAAGCCTTAGGGTGCGGCCAGAGTGCACTCAGATTCAGATTCAGATTCAGATTCTGAAAACAAACGCGAGAAATAAACAGTGTAGTCGAAGGGTACGGCCAGAGTGCACTCCTGATTCAGATTCAGATTCAGATTCAGACTCAGAAAACAAAGCGCGAGAAATAGCAGGCAACCTGCTTAGACTACACTGTTTATTTCTCGCGCTTGTTTTCAGAATCTGAATCTGAATCTGAATCTGAGTGCACTCTGGCCGCACCCTTACATTGGGGCTAGGCTTATTGGTGTGAGTGTTGGAAATATTTATTTATTATAAACATTTTTAAGAACATTTTGTGTTTTCTGACTTTATTTATTTATTTAAGGGACAGTACACAGCTTATATGTATATTGGAATTACAATCAATGATATATAATTTGAAAGCCAATTACGACTATCCACAGATTACAATAAGGTTTTAAAACGAACAGACGTGGTTACAAAAGAAAATATGAGATGCTGACAGTTACTAAATTAGTGAAAAAAAAAAAAGAAAACTCCAAAATTATAATAATACAGACCCTATCTGTTTTGTTCTCAGGGGAAAATATAGGTGTACATTAAGAACCTAATATATATTTTTTTAATTTTTTAGTAAAATCAATTTAGCTATAGCACCTAGTAAATAATATTGCTGTCTAGGGATCTGTTATTTTGTAGTTTTGACAAACCGGAAATGATTCGTGCAACGTCTAATGCGCACGGAAATGTGAATTGGTCGATGGCTTTTCACTAGGTCCCTATTCGTCTCACTTCCTCATACGAAGTGCAGGAAGTGTCTTCACTTTTCATTGTATTATTTTTTTATGATTCATCGTAAGTTGAATTAGTTTTAAAGTACATACTTGTGTCAATCTGACATAAGTTCGTACTTAAAACTACAATAATTACATAAAAAGTACATAAGTAACACAAAATAATTGCTGTAATACATGATGTTGTTTGTAAATCATTGTGTTAAATACATTAATATTATGATTTTATTTTATTTTTAAGCATTTCAAAAATCCATAAATCCAAAAATAGATTTTTTTCTAGTAAACTTTTCTTTAGATTTAAACATCTAGCAGTTAAATGCTTAAAAATAAAATCATAACTATAATTGCTATTTCTTCTTTCAAATGTTTAATACTTGAAAAAGTATTCATTTGACATTGTGGGTTACCTATAATGCGAAGAAATGGCGCTGCCTTGCAGCTTAACGCTAGGAAAATTTCGACGCGGCTAATAGGGCCGTGGTAGCATAATGGTCAGTGCATTCGCCCGGATTGCGAAGGATGCGGGTTCGAGTCCCGTCCGCTGCCTGGTCCGCGTGGATTTTTTTTCTAGTAAACTTTTCTTTACATTAATATTATTTAAACTAATATTTGATAGTGTTTAATTAAATCATATGCATTTCAATATGCCAATCAAATCATAATGACCATGACATTCGTATTGAAACTAATAACAATTTAATTTTAACCATAAAAATTCAAGGCTCACACATAAAAGTAATAAAGGAAAAGAATGTAGTTTATTATAAGTATTTTAAGCATGTAACTGCTAGATAAATAAATCTAAAGAAAAAATTCTAGAAATAATTCCACGCGGTCCAGTTATAGGCAAGATGATTCCACAATAAAAACATAAATGTGTTCATATATTCAAGGAAATTAATGAAATAAAATAGCGAGTCTGTGCGGAAAGAGAATGGGATTTAGATTGGAGGGCGCTGTAGTGCTTTTCTACCGTATTTGTAAGGTTTTACCACTTTTAGACATGATTAAATACAAAAAACCGCAACAAATCACAACAACAAACAAATCCGTATCAATACAAAACTTTGACGTTTTACAGATTGCTGGGTTTGATTGCCAAATAAAAATCTTAATGTTAGTTCCGTTTTTCGCCACGCCCATTCTCTTTCCGCACAGACTATCAAAATTAATTAAAATTTTGTCAAACGTGATCGAAGACAATAAATATTAAATATTGACTCCCTGATTTATATTATATTATATTCATTAAATTAAAATACACATTTCATTGCTTCTAAAAGTTTCCTTCTTATATTTTTAATATAAAATTATTTTTTATAGCATGATAAAGTTTATTTCAAGCTAGCCTGCTAATGGCAAGGCATTGTATTTAAAGTGTTTAGATGTTTCAACAACGACCTCGTGTCTATCTAGTCTAGACTTGACTGCAACTATATTTATGATTGATAGGAAAAAAAACCGTATAATAAACTTTGAATTTGTACATATGAAAAATTTCGACGACGACTATGATTCATCCCATTTTATACAAATTAGTTATTTTTTTTTAAATCCGTCTTCATAAAAACAATATTACGAAAAAGTATGAAATAAAACATATTATATACATAATGTCTATGTTAAACTTGCGTCAGGTTAAACACGTGGGCTGATCGCATCATGACACACAATAAAATTGGAAAGGTTGTTGACTTTCAATATATTGGACGAAACATAGTAATATTTTATTTTACCGTATTATAATAATAAGTCTCTATCTAGGACGTCCACGTGGCAGCATTATTGCGAAGAAAATGCACTTTTTACAATAGATGTCGCTAGGTGCGCTTAAATGTGATTCATGTAAGTTGATTTCTTGACAATAGATGTCGCTAAGTGCGCTTAAACGTGATTCATGTAAGTTGATTTTTATAAACTTTTTTAATGTTATATAAATTGTCATGTTTGTGTACGATAGTGCAATAAATAAATATTGTATTCCACCAAATACATGATACTCGTAGTACTTTTATAGTGATAATTAAAGCAATTCATGCAAAATTATTCCCTAACCATTCCAAAATATCAAAAATGCACAACGTTAATATTCAAGTTTTCGCTTCTGCCGGCACTCCCGGAGTGCAACCCGTCGTTTTTTCTTCTAATGTTTTCTATTCTACGTCCGTTTTCAGAATACCGTCTCTCGATTGAGACAACAAGCAAGTTTGGATTCTTCTTTTATTTTTCATCTTATTATTATCTGGAATACCAGCCATTGACACTAGGTAATAAATAAGCAAAAAGGGTGGTCGCTGCGGCGTTACAGTTAAGCTTGCCAGATGACCGTGAAATCCGGGTTGTGTCCCGGATTCCGATAATGTGCTAGTTTCCTAACAAAATGAACTAATAACGAATGACACCTGCTTGATGTTTCAATTCTGGGGGGTGATGGGGGTTTGATTTGATGTTTTATTTATTGGAAAATATCCCGCAATTGATGAGCCAGCATCTGGCAACCCAAGTACCAACACAGAAGGGACCGCCAATACCACCACCAATACAATATTGATATCATTGATTTGCCTCCTCATAAATTTAAAATACACATTAAGAATTGTTTACTTAAGAAAGGATATTAATGTCAATCAATATTTGAATGATAAAACGGCCTGGTTGTAATTTTACCTATAGATAATTTTTCAAAAGTTATATTAAAACTAAGGCTCCCAGCCTTAGAAAGAGATTTGAAGAGAACCTTGGACTTACTCCCTTTCATATACTTGTTCATTTTGTTTTGAAAATTGTTTCTTGCTATTTTGGGACTTTTCTTTGCACTTATTGTTAGTAAATTCGTTGATTGTCTATTGTTACATATTTGACATTATGTGATGGAAATTGACCTCAACACATGTTTGCAAGTTTGATGTCAACTTTCAATTGGACGACACTGTATGACATAAAACAGGGAGAAAAAAGCAGCCCTTGCTGAGTTTCTTGCCGGTTCTTCTCAGTACAAGGTCTCCCGCCGTAGATTTGCGAACCGATGGCGTAGCTTTTCGACATTCAAAAGTGCTTGTAACAGCCTAGACTGAATAAATGATATTGAATTTTGAATTTTTTGAATTTTACCAATATTTTTGTTTTGATTGCAGGCATCACGGTCGGTTTGACTGTGATACCTCAGGCGATCGCGTACGCAGGCGTGGCCGGGCTGCCGCCACAGTACGGCCTCTACTCCTCCTTCATGGCGTGCTTCGTGTACACGGTGTTTGGGTCCGTGAAGGATTCCGCCATCGGCCCGACCGCCATCGCCGCCATACTCACCAGGGAGAACCTGCACGGTCTCGGGCCGGAGTTCGCGGTGCTGCTGGCGTTCCTGTCAGGTTGCGTCGAGCTCATCATGGGCATACTGCAACTTGGTAAGCAGTTTGTCACTGTCTGTCAACGATATTAAATACCCTAGATACACCAACACGAACAAAATCGTGGCCAAAACGTGTCCTTAAGGTACATTGTACGATAACGGAGCTTTGTAAGATGATAGCGTGGCCAAAAACGATATAAAGCATTATATAAACATTGAAAGTCACCTTTAACGCATACTGTATAAGGTCCTCAAAACGCATGCGTCAAAGACTTCTGACAATCCCAAATGCGAGCTCGTAAATTTTTTCGTCTTATAGCTATATGTGGAAGAATATAGACCTTATTCTTTTGACTCTACGCGCAATTCTGAATGCGCTGTTAGCAATAGAGCAAGTACTGACCGCGAGGAAAAGAGACGGCTATACGGCGACGTATAACCGACCACGCATTTGAATATCACAAATATTTTATATTAAATCAGTTTATAGTAAGTATTAGAACAAAATTTGCTTCAAATGCGTTAAATTAATAAACGTTGATTAGATACCTGTCGAAAAAACGACACGTTTCGTCTCTATGTATTATTTTCGCATTTTTTCACGGAGCTTTGTGGCATCTTGACTTTGTAACGGTCCGCGCGTGACTGTGAACCAAGAAGTGCTTGAGTGGAGTTCAAGCACTTCTTGATTGGGACACATTTTGAGCGCTCGTGATGTATCTAGGGTATTTAATATCGTTGCTGTCTGTAGCTGAACCCGAACTAATGGCACAAACACACGGAAATAACCTAACACATGCGCTCACAAAGTTAAAAACTGCACTTGTAAAGGTAAAATATGAGAAGTGGACCTCAAAAAAGCTATATATATGATATAAGGTTCATTCTCCTCTGCTGAAAAAAACGTTTTCTCATACTTATTTTTTCCATTTGGAACGCGTCAGTGACCATGGTGGTAGTAATAGCTCGAGTACGTCATCATCATCATCATCAGCCTATTAATGTCCCCACTGCTGGGGCACAGGCCTTCCCCATGGATGGAATAGGGAGATTGGGCCATGACCCACCACGCGGGCCCAGTGCGGATTGGTGGGTGCTAACGACTGTAGATGCAGCCGGGACCAACGGCTTAACGTGCCTTCCGAAGTACGGAGGAGCTCGAGATAGTAATTTTTGGTCACCCATTAAATGACCGACCACTGCGAAAGTTGCTTAAGTTCAACGATCGCAGCCGAACGCGCTAACCACTTGCGCCATCGAGCTCCTCTCGAGTACGTAAATCTTTTTATTGAAAACAAGTACTTTTCATAAAATAATGACAAAGGGATTTAAAAACATATGTGCATCAAATCGGTCGTTAGCATGACTGTGCAGAATGACGGTGTTATTAAACTCGCTTTTTTATTGTTTGGTATTGACAAAACAATATTACTTCACGCCATATACTCTTACCTGATTCATTCATCCATGCAACAAACCAACTTTGAATCTGGCAAATATTAATATTATCTTTACCAGGATAAACGCAATCAATATACATATTTATAGGTAGTTAACATTTTTTCTAAATAAAAATGACTCCTATGTTCCTTGGTCACGCCAGATTTTTAACACGATTTCACTGTCATCATATTTTTTTATACTTTCTAATACTCTGTAGAAAACTCTTAAGGAAAAATTAATGAAGTCGAACGAAACTTATGTAATTTGTTTGAGTAAAGCCACAAACGGAAGCTCATACCCCACAATTCTTCATATGTTTTATGATAAAAGGGTTGTCAAACTCATGGGTTTGGGCGAAAATAAAAAGAGATTAAATTGGTATACTGAGATTTGTTTCTATCTCGTTAGCACAGAAAAACAGTTGACACAAGAGAGAGTATTATACGACCGAATAAAATGACATAATCAACGCATAGACAGTGGCTCCAACTAGTGAGCTGTTTAGACAACTATGACAATTTACATTGTTTGGTCTATATTAGTTCTAACACAAACAAGCATATCACCCGTCGGATGGTAAGCGGCCACCATAGCCTGTTAGACGCTATCAGAACTTTACTACTCGCGCGGTTGTATTTTTTTTCTTATGGGAGCATACGAGCTGACGGCCCACCTACTGGTAAGTGATCACCGTTGCCAATAGACACCTGCAACACCAGGAGTGTCTGGGAAATGCCTTACGCATCCTTCAACCACGGGGGGAGCGAGAAGAAGGTATGTGGGACTCCTCCCTGTTCATTTCAGCCAGCCCTGTGGCCGGACGAAATCATCAGAGCCCTACCTAACACCCGCAACAGGGCCACCAAAAAACTGACATAACTCCTGCACCGTCACCCAGCACGCACTGTGAGGACCGCGGTCCCCCTACTGCGTGGCGAGAGGGCGGCTGTGGTCGCGGCTTCCGTTTCCGAATCATCATCATCATCATTAGCCTATTAATGTTCCCACTGCTGGGGCACAGGCCTTCCCTATGGATGTAATAGGGAGATTGGGCCATGACCCACCACGCGGGCTCAATGCGGATTGGTGGGTGCTAACGACTGCAGATGCAGCCGGGACCAACGGCTTAACGTGCCTTCCGAAGCACGGAGGAGCTCACGATAGAAATTTTTTTTTGGTCACCCATCCAATGACCGACCACTGCGAAAGTTGCTTAACTTCAACCATCGCAGCCGAACGCGCTAACCACCTGCGCTATCGAGCTCCTCGTTCCCGATCCGTTTCCGAATGGCCACGCAGAATTGGTTCTCCTATAGAAATGTAGAAAAATGGAATAACAGATAGATTTGGTTTTGCTTTCGTTATATGAATGGTGTACTCCGTGGTCAGGATTCCTCATCGACTTCATCAGCGGGCCGGTGTCGGTGGGGTTCACGTCTGCGGCCGCCATTATCATCGCTACCACGCAGGTCAAGGACATCCTGGGGCTCAGCTTTCCCGGGGGCAAGTTTCTGCAGGCAGGTGCTTTCTTTATGTAACACACACAATACCACAATACCCGTAACCATGGGTAACTATAAGATGCAAAAGATATAATAAGATATAAAAAGTCTCTGATTATGTCAGAGGTATTTGCTGAAACCTGGCATGATACCAGGTTTTGAAAAAAAAAAAAAAAAAATTTCATATATTTTATGAAATACTTCATTACGTTGATTTAACTTTAAAAATATGTTAGATAACATATTTTTCATTAAAATAATACATCTGAACATATTTCATAATTAATAGTGTAAACAATATTCATAATTCCCATTTCTGGAGCAAATATTGGAGCAAAGTAGGACCATTTTACCGGTTCCTGTTCTGTTTAAGTATGTGGCTATTTTGATTATTTTCCGCATAGTAATATAGGTTTACTTCAAATTTTTATTAATATTTAAATTCTGTATCTGTTATAGTTTCATTCCGTTTATGGATACTCCTGCATATTTTATGATGATTGAACAGGTTTAGAGAAATCTCATTTTCGAATATAAAATGAATGTGTAACAAGTTACATAAAACCTAATCTTCGACAGAAGTTTTTTATTTTAAGAAAAAATATAAATAAATACGTTTATTGCGTCTTAGAATCAGGTATCTTAAAATGAATTGGTCAGCTAAAGAGACAAAAAATGCACACTAGTCACACGTGACAACAATGATAACACGTGTCGATAAGGCTGCGGAGGTCTATAGGAACATTTAAATAATACCAACTAATTATTTTTTATCGTCCCAATTATGTCATTGCAGTTTTTGCGGAGATAATTTAAATGGTTGCCGCAAAAACCTGCACACTTTCTATCGGCCTTCGCTACATTTATGCAGATTTGATTGAGTTGATTTTTTCTGTCAGTACTTACTCATCACGCGGAATGATTCCGAGATTTGGCGAATTGCTCACTGCGCTGGCAACACTGCTTATAAAAAAGTTTTTCCAATGTTTTAGTGACGATATATTGGTTTGGAGGCTCAATTCTTTATAACCAGCTGGGAATCACATAAATAATTCCTCTGGTCATAGCACAGCCCATCAATGTATTTTTCGACTTATATACCATGTTCAACATCTTTAATACATGACTGTTTCATGACAGACAAAATCAAAATTTAAAACTAGGTCCATTTCTAGATCGAGCATAACGAGTCTAAACAATATACGTTGTATAACAGCTGCCTTAACGAACAGTCTGTGAAAATTGCAGATAAATTCATATAAGTACACCTTTTCCGCTCAAAAGTTACAGCTCTGAGATCAGACAAACAGCCAGCGGAGGCATTCATAAGTTTCCCTAAAATTGACACGTATGATAACACATAATAACTCGTAGGTATTCAATGTCCCAGCATAATAATATCACTGAAAATTTGTTCTATGTAGATAGGTATTGATATCAGTGTTACCAACCCTTACCATAATATTCCCCTAAGTATTTTTTAAATTCCTCTAAAATCCCCTAAATATAGAATTTTATTTGTATCTACTTATTACCTAAACTAATTCGTTGCTCCTTAATTAAAACTTTACTTATTTAGTTACAGAAAATTATTTTATTGAATAAATACAGTTTCCCAAAGGATAATCAAACGAAAATGAGCTGACAGGCTGTTAAATCTTATTTAGCTGTTTTTTAACTTTAGTCCATACAGCCTTAGGCAACGACCCGCCACACAGTTACACGTTTCATATCGTGGTGCGTTCCATTCTACGCACAAAACTGAAAGAAAACACACGCTTCAAATCAAATCGAAAAAGACGATTTGATTGAAAGTTCTCCCCTAAAAAAGTCCGTTTTAACACTTCTAGCCCCTAAATCTGGGGGAAAAACCCCTTAGTTGGGAACCGTGACTGAAATATTTAACCCCGTTTAAGATAACTTTGTCTAAGTAAAAATGTATTCGCAGGTTTGGACGGGACTCTACGAGCACATCGGTGAGACTCGACTCTGGGACGCCGTGCTCGGCGTCTCGTGCATAGTCGTGTTACTGCTTCTGAGGGTAAGTCCTGCTAGACCATAGACACAAAGTTAAATTTCATTATGACGCCAAGACCCTAAAAGAAAATGGCAAAGAGGCCAATTCTATAACAATGATAAATGGACTTATATCTTCCCTCAACCATACCTCTAGTAGTGGAAATATTTCGGTTTGCGAGTCCGAAATGTCACTGTCAAATGTGTACTGATTTTTAGTTCTCGTTGCGTACTTTGTGGCGCAGCTGTTCAAGTTTTCATACAAAATTTGACATTGACACTTGGCACTCGCAAAGTATTCGAAGTCGATATTGGTTCGTGCTAGGGGTACAGACTACAGAACAAAAGGACCTTTGTTCTATACTCTGAGCATTTCACAAATTTCATATCTGCACGAGTATGTTAATAACTGACTTATTTTTGGGTAATTAATTCACTCCTAGTCCAGTGTGAACAATGTTTATGTGTTCAACCTTAAACAATGTTTATTTCGGTTTTGATATGTATTTAGTACCATTTGATTACGAAAGATGGTGCTACTAAAATGTGTCAAATGTTCGGGTATATTTTCTAAATCGCGCTGTAGAAATTATTTTATGTATATACTTATGATAGCTGAATAAAGTTCAAAATTGCAAATAAATTGGGTCACAGCGGTCTGTGGAAACAGAGTACCAGTTTTTTTTGATTTAAGAAAACCCCCTGTCAATCAACCCCCAGAAACCAACCCTCAATTAGTACAGGGTTGTACAGAATGTGTTAATAATATTTTGAAGTCAAAATATCGTAACATATTGGGAGATTTCATTCATGTATAGTTAAGTTAACTTGATATTTAATTTTGTTGTAAGTGTACTCATGTATTATTTTAAACTAGCAAACCAGTGAAACAAATGTTCACCAAAACCTGATTTCTCGAAAACCGGAAGTGCTACGTTACTCAAATCCAGTTTGTGGTCTTATCAGACTATTCTTAACTTATAACTTAAATATTCTCTTTATCTATCTCTTACGGTTTGGCCGCTGAAACAGCACCACAGACAGACGGACGGACTTGTCTAATAGATAAGAGATAAATGTCGAAAAGTCGTTCGCAGAAACCTCTAAGAATTATTAACTATAATGAATTTGTCAAAAATATACATAGCTTTTTTTGTCACATAGTTTTAAATATTTATGACCTTTTTTGCTGTTATTTTAGCGGACCTTGTAACATTAATGCTATTATAAATCTATTGTACTGTACGTACATATACAAATAAACCGAACTCAACCTTCTTAAATAATAGGAACATGTTTAGATACATATTCTATATAGGTCCTAATAATGTCGGAATTCCAATACAATGATATCATACAGCCATGCACTTGCGTAAGCTAAAATTTAAATTAAAACCACTATGTTTTTGCAGTCGATATCCGTAAGACAAAAAAAAACAATCGCATAAAGTTGCAGATATGACCACTCTATTTATCAGGCTTTTATCAAATCGGTTGCTAACATATTACAATTTTACTTGACATTGGCTGAACGCACAAACCGTGCATGCCATAAAAAAAGAAAAAGAAGAAGAACATATTACAAAAATAGGGTTCCGGTAGCCGTTACCTCTCTCTCTATATCCGGTGTCATTGCATACAAACAAAGTTGCTAACATCTATCACAGTTAGCAATAGACTATATGACTTCGAAAGATGGTGCTAAGATAAGTATATAATACTGTCACTTAGCAAGAAGCCAGGCTATTAAAGCACTAAGGCTGCGTTATTTGAAACATACATACTTAAATTGACTTTGACGACCTCCGTGGCAGAGTGGTTTGTACGCCGGGTTTCATGGTGTCGCCGACTCTAGAGGTCCCGGGTTCGAATCCCGGTGGGGGCAGATGTTTGTGTGATGAATGCGAACATTTGTACTCCAGTCATGGATGTTTAATATGTATTTCTATATAAATATACTTATATAATTATGTAAATGTATTCTATCCGTTATCCTAGCATCCCATAACACAAGCATCACAGTGCTTAGTTTAGGGCTAGGCTAATTGGTGTGAGTGTTGGAAATATTTATTATTATTATTAAATTAAGAGGAGCTTGATGGATGCAACTTTCGCAGTGGTCGGTCATTGGATAGGTGACCAAAAACCTTCTATCTCGAGTACTTCCGTGCTTCGGAAGGCACGTTAAGTCGTTGGTCCCGGCTACATCTGCAGGTGTTAGCAATTTCACCCGCCAATCCGCAATGGGCCCGCGTGGTTGGTCATGGCCCAATCTTCCTATTCCATCCATAGGGAAGGCCTGTGCCCCAGCAGTGGGGACATTAATAGGCTGATGATGATGATGAAACAGCGAGGCCCATAATGTCGGAACCATTCGACCAGTAAAATAGAACTTGTACCTCATTTAACTGATTTTTGAAGTTATACTTCTTTAGGCGCGTTATGAAAAAATGATGAGAGTGAAATTTTAAGATGCGCGCGCATCACTGTAACACAAAATTTTAACAGCATGAAGTTACTTTTGTGTTTACCGCACATTAAGAAAATCTACCAACAAAATAGAAATAGAATCTCTATTTAGTGGGTGCTAACGACTGCATTGTGAAGGCCTATCAAAAGTATTTATTAATCTGGAACAACGGAACCAAAGCGCGATTCAGGAGACTACAGCGCCATCTCTTGACCATTGGTGTAGTAGTACCAAAAACCACATCTTTATTTTTAATAAATTGCCCAGCACTTACAGTTAGCACTGATTCACAGGAACATTTAGATATGTATCTTGTTTAGTGTCCCAAAAAGGAGGTGGAACTAACTAAATAATTAAACACCTGTTCCAATTTTAAATAGCGAGAGAGCGTTTATTGCTTTTACATAACATACTTATATTTCAAACAAAACCAAATGGTAACGTGATTCAGTGAACCGATCCTGCCATCTATCGTACAAAAAGTAAAGTAATTCTAAACATATCTCCTGTAAACAATTACTCGTTTAGCACATCCGGGCGCTGTAGTTGCTGTCGCTGTTTGCTGGATAATTGGACATGATTGCACCTCAGAGCAATCAGGAAACGCCAACTAACGCATTAGATGAAGATAATTGTTTAGATTTTTAATATATGTGCAATTTTTTTTGTACAAAATGGTGACGTGCTCATCGGCCTTAGAGATCCGTACGAAATGTAGATTTTTTAAAAGCAAACATCTGATTTATCGCTTCTTGTCATGTTGGTTTTTTTGTTAGAAAACTATTCGACTTAATAAACAATAGCGCCTATTTACAAATTACCGAAGATCATAGGAAAGTAAAAAATATTCTGAGCTAGATTTTGCATTAATAAAAGTGAAATAAAAGTAACAACAGAGGAGCTCGATGGCGCGAGTGGTTAGCGCGATTGACTGCGATCGTTGAAGTTAAGCAACTTTCGCACTGGTCGGTCATTGGATGGGTGACCAAAAATATTCTATCTCGAGTTCCTCCGTGCTTCGGAAGGCACGTTAAGCCGTTGGTCCCGGCTGCATCTACAGTCGTGAGCACCCGCCAACCCGCACTGGGCCCGCGTGGTGGGTCATGGCCCAATCTCCCTATTCCATCCATAGGGAAGGCCTGTGCCCCAGCAGTGGGGACATTGATAGGCTGATGATGAAAAGTAACATGTAGAGAAACAGAAGAGCAGGAGACTTTCAGAGAAACAGGAGATCTCCTGTAAAATCGGGGGACCTGACACTCCAAGACAAAGATTACATTGAAATTTCCCGTTGCAGAAAGTGAAAGACATCAAGGTGGGGTCAGTAGGCCCGGAAGCAGGAGAGCGCGCGCGGCGCGTGCGGGGCTGCGTGTCGCAGGCGCTGTGGTTCCTGGCCACCACGCGCAACATCCTGGTGGTGCTGGTGTGCGCCGCGCTGGCATACTACTTCGACACGCAGCAGAAGGCGCCCTTCGTACTCACAGGTATCGGTCGTGTCGCAGGCGCTGTGGTTCCTGGCCACCACGCGCAACATCCTGGTGGTGCTGGTGTGCGCCGCGCTGGCATACTACTTCGACACGCAGCAGAAGGCGCCCTTCGTACTCACAGGTATCGGTCGTGTCGCAGGCGCTGTGGTTCCTGGCCACCACGCGCAACATCCTGGTGGTGCTGGTGTGCGCCGCGCTGGCATACTACTTCGACACGCAGCAGAAGGCGCCCTTCGTACTCACAGGTATCGGTCGTGTCGCAGGCGCTGTGGTTCCTGGCCACCACGCGCAACATCCTGGTGGTGCTGGTGTGCGCCGCGCTGGCATACTACTTCGACACGCAGCAGAAGGCGCCCTTCGTACTCACAGGTATCGGTCGTGTCGCAGGCGCTGTGGTTCCTGGCCACCACGCGCAACATCCTGGTGGTGCTGGTGTGCGCCGCGCTGGCATACTACTTCGACACGCAGCAGAAGGCGCCCTTCGTACTCACAGGTATCGGTCGTGTCGCAGGCGCTGTGGTTCCTGGCCACCACGCGCAACATCCTGGTGGTGCTGGTGTGCGCCGCGCTGGCATACTACTTCGACACGCAGCAGAAGGCGCCCTTCGTACTCACAGGTATCGGTCGTGTCGCAGGCGCTGTGGTTCCTGGCCACCACGCGCAACATCCTGGTGGTGCTGGTGTGCGCCGCGCTGGCATACTACTTCGACACGCAGCAGAAGGCGCCCTTCGTACTCACAGGTATCGGTCGTGTCGCAGGCGCTGTGGTTCCTGGCCACCACGCGCAACATCCTGGTGGTGCTGGTGTGCGCCGCGCTGGCATACTACTTCGACACGCAGCAGAAGGCGCCCTTCGTACTCACAGGTATCGGTCGTGTCGCAGGCGCTGTGGTTCCTGGCCACCACGCGCAACATCCTGGTGGTGCTGGTGTGCGCCGCGCTGGCATACTACTTCGACACGCAGCAGAAGGCGCCCTTCGTACTCACAGGTATCGGTCGTGTCGCAGGCGCTGTGGTTCCTGGCCACCACGCGCAACATCCTGGTGGTGCTGGTGTGCGCCGCGCTGGCATACTACTTCGACACGCAGCAGAAGGCGCCCTTCGTACTCACAGGTATCGGTCGTGTCGCAGGCGCTGTGGTTCCTGGCCACCACGCGCAACATCCTGGTGGTGCTGGTGTGCGCCGCGCTGGCATACTACTTCGACACGCAGCAGAAGGCGCCCTTCGTACTCACAGGTATCGGTCGTGTCGCAGGCGCTGTGGTTCCTGGCCACCACGCGCAACATCCTGGTGGTGCTGGTGTGCGCCGCGCTGGCATACTACTTCGACACGCAGCAGAAGGCGCCCTTCGTACTCACAGGTATCGGTCGTGTCGCAGGCGCTGTGGTTCCTGGCCACCACGCGCAACATCCTGGTGGTGCTGGTGTGCGCCGCGCTGGCATACTACTTCGACACGCAGCAGAAGGCGCCCTTCGTACTCACAGGTATCGGTCGTGTCGCAGGCGCTGTGGTTCCTGGCCACCACGCGCAACATCCTGGTGGTGCTGGTGTGCGCCGCGCTGGCATACTACTTCGACACGCAGCAGAAGGCGCCCTTCGTACTCACAGGTATCGGTCGTGTCGCAGGCGCTGTGGTTCCTGGCCACCACGCGCCACATCCTGGTGGTGCTGGTGTGCGCCGCGCTGGCATACTACTTCGACACGCCGCAGAAGGCGCCCTTCGTACTCACAGGTATCGGTCGTGTCGTAGGCCCCTTATATATGCAAAATGATTCTTAAGGAGTAAACTCTAAAAAGTGACATGAATGAACTTCGACCACTTTTTATTGGCGTCCAACGTGGGGTGAACTTATAATAATAATAATATAATAATAATAACAATAAAATTTATTTCAGACCATAAGTGTCCATAGTTTTGTTTTGTTAGTAACACTTTTCCTTAAGCTATGTTAGTTCAATTTCAATTTAATTAATGTCTTATATGGAGACCCACCCAACGTTGGAGTAGAGGCGACTTCCACCTATCCGACAACACGCACGGGATGCTGTTTATACGTTACAAGAATTGCTATAAATATTCAAAATTAAATTAAGCCAAATAACTACTAAAGCGGATCCGATGGAACTGGAAAATAATATTTGACGATCTCCGTGGCCGTGTGGTATGTACGCCTGATTTCATGGTGTCGCCTACTCGAGAGGTCCCGGATTCAAATCCCGGTGGGGGTAAATGTTTATGTGATGAATACGAGCATTTGTTCTCCAATCATGGATGTTTAATATATATCCCTATATAAATATACTTATAAATGTATCAGTATATATATTCTATCCGTGACGCTAATATTCCATAACCCAAGCCTGCAGTCCTTACTTTGGGGCTAGGCTAATTGGTGTGAATGTTGGAAATATTATTTTTCTAATTTAATTTTTATTATATATTTTTCCAGTTCAGATGGTAAAATAACTCATTATTGATCCTACCGACGAGCTGCCTGCTTAATTCGTATTTATTTTGTTGTGTCAGGTGACGTGAAGGCCGGGTTGCCACAGTTGTCGCCGCCGCCGTTCTCGGCCACGGTGGGCAACCACACCTACACCTTCGTGGAGATGGCCTCCACGCTCGGCTCCGCCATATTCGTGGTGCCCCTGCTATCTATACTGGAGAACATCGCGCTCGCCAAAGTCTTTTGTGAGTTCTATTGTTTTAAAAGTATTTTTGAAGTAAAACTTCTTTTCGAACGGGGTGTAAAAGGAAAACTTAAAAGAAATAAATGTCGGATGCGTGCGTAGCTCTTCTAGATAAAGTGTTGAAAACTTTTAGGGTATATTCAAATTCGTAAAGGTTGTAATAAACTTGGGCTTAGAGGAATTTTACAGCCTTTTTCAGATGCAATTAAATATTTAATAAAGATCAATCACTAATCGTAGATTTTGTAATTATTTAGTTTATAATTTTTGTCCTGTGCAATATAGAATTTCTCAACAAAATCTAATAACTAAATGAACAAAGATACTCAAAATTACAGACCGTTTGATAGGGTCTCACGAATGCGACGCCATCTGTTGCTTACTGAGCTTTGCGTTTTTTCTATATTGTAAAGCTATGTAATATTAGAGCTCCAGTAAAAAGGATTTTACAATAGGCCTATTACTTTTTTGCAAATAGGCTTATTAAAAGCGCTTTTACACATTCCCGTGTTCACACATCACACTATACTACGAAATGAAACATCTAACGTAGGCTGACATAACTAACTTTATTGACAGTTTACTTTTTTATAAACTACTAAACATGCCGCCACCCAAGGACGAATTAGTCCTTTAAATTAGGATTCTATGGGTAATAAACATATTTTTGTAATAGGCCTTTTGAATATGCTATTATTACATTTAACCGTAACAACTCTGACTATCCCATCGTTACCTGAGTGAGTTTGTAATATTCTTCCTAACAGCCATTTTGAAGGTGGCAAACATTCATTTTTTACAATAACTAAATCATTAACTTTAACAGGATTTTTAATGGAATGCCATTTATACCGATGTTGTAGTGTAACTAAATATTCTTGAGACCATCTTTTCCAAAACGACTGCAACATGTGTTCAATATGTTGCCAACGGTTAAGTCTATTCATTGGAATATCAGTCACATTCTCGTGTGGAATTACACTTGGTGGGCCAAACACGATAAAATGTCCAGGAGTTAGGGCGGTATAATCATCAATCGAATTGGTTAAAGCAGAAATGGGACGTGAATTAAGACAACACTCTATCTGAGTCAAAAGGGTAGCATACTCTTCAAATGTGAGTTTAGTATCCCCCACAACACGATTGATGTGATGTTTCGTTGAACGCACACCTGCCTCCCATAACCCTCCGAAATGTGGCGAACCTGGAGGTATAAAGTGCCACTCAGTGCCATCTGTAGCTAATAACTCGCGCAATTCTACAGGCAAAGATGATCTAGCTTTGTTCAACATTTTTGTTAACTCAAAGTTTGCACCAATGAAATTAGTTCCACAGTCTGAAAACAAATGAGTACAATGCCCACGGCGAGAAGTAAATCTTTTGAATGCAGCTATAAAGGCACTAGTTGATAATTCTGAAACTAATTCCAAATGTATAGCTTTAGTTGAGGTACAGATAAATACTGCAATATACGCTTTATACAAAGTAGCTTTCTTAAGCTTTCAAGATCTTAGATAGCAAGGACCAGCAAAGTCAACACCACTACTAGAAAATGGTTTGGAGGCGGTAACTCGTGCTGATGGCAGATTTCCCATCAATTGAGTAGCAAATTTTGGAGCATATCGTATACAAGAAATGCATCGCTTAACATGTAATTTCACAAGAGACTTAACATTGGTGATCCAATATGTGGATCTAATAACATTTAACATAAGCAATGGTCCTCCGTGCAAGGTTTTCTTATGTGTGTAATCTATGATCAATTTAGCTAATTGCGATTTTCCAGAAATTACAATAGGGTGTTTGGCGTCGTAAGGGATAGGGGCATTTTTAAGCCTACCACCTATTCTTATTATGAGTTCATCAATAAATGGACGTAAAAAATACAAAGGACTCTTTTTTGAAACACATTCACCATTCGATAGTTCATTGATTTCAGTTTGAAAATGATACATTTGTGAAATCTTAATGCAACAATTCATGGACTGTATTAATTCATTAGTTGTTAAATACTTAGGGAATTCATTAGACATATTTGTATCTAAAGTTACTCTATTTGTAACGCGTTGCTTACTTATTTTAATAAATCTCATACAATATGCCAAAACCCTTTTCAGTTTTGTTAGACTAGAATACTTGCATAAAATAAATTCTTCCGGCATAACATTAACACTTAAACATTGTATAAAGTCAGCTTTTAATTCTAAATCAGTTTCATGATATTCATTAGTTGACATAATATCCTTAGTAGTATGTAACCACTTTGGGCCGTTCCACCATAATTCATAATCTGGTAATTGTGCTGGAGATATTCCCTTAGAAGCACAATCTGCTGGATTTTCTTTTGTATTAACATGACGCCAACGATTAGCACGCGTCACATTTATTATTTCCGATACACGATTTCCAACAAAGGTCTTCCAAGAATTCGGTGGTTTTTGAAGCCATGCCAGAACTATAGTGGAATCAGTCCATCCAAAAACATTATCATCTGAAACATTTAAAGAACTTTGAATTCTTTCCATCAATTTTGCGGTCAATACAGTTCCGCACAACTCTAACCGTGGAATAGATATTTGTTTGAGTGGCGCTACTTTAGTCTTGGCTGCTACTAGTTTAACTTTGACCTGAAAATCATGAATAATTCTAATGTACACAACGCCAGCGAATGCAGTGCTAGACGCATCACTAAAACCATGAATCTCAATTCGCGTATTCGAACTAGTCATTCCGATCCAACGTGGTAAGTAAATGACTGGCATTTTGAGCATTTGATCTTTATATGATAACCATTCGACTTTATGATTTTGTGGCAATTCTTCATCCCAACCAAGACCAAGTAACCACAGTTTCTGAATAAAAACTTTAGCAATTATAACTATTGGTGACATCCAACCTAAAGGGTCATATATTCTAGCAATATCAGCAAGGACCTCTCGTTTAGTAAATTTTGGTTTTGATTCTTCTCCAAACTTAATACTCAACTCAAAGCGATCCTCTTTTGGATTCCATTTTATCCCCAAAGTTTTAATTGATTTTTCCATAATGATTTTATATGACTCTTGTGGTTGAATATCATCACCGTATATAGCGCTCATAACATTTTTTGAATTAGTTCCCCATTTATGAAGAACCATTCCTCCCCGCTGCAGTAATGCAGTCAAATTTTTGTGCAAATTAATAGCCTCCGATTCTGTGTCACAACCAGAAAGGAGATCATCAACATAAAAATCTGACTCTAATACGCGCGATGCACGTGGATACTCACCGCACTCATCCTTAGCCAACTGTTTCAACACTTTAATGGCAAGATAAGGTTCACAGGATGTGCCATACGTTACCGTACGTAACCTGTATTCAGTGATAGGTTCAGCAAGGTCCCTCCTCCATAAAATACGCTGATAATCTTGGTCTTCTTTTCTTACCAAAATCTGTCTATACATTTGCTTAATGTCGGCCACAAGACAAATTCTGTGTGATCGCCATCTTAAAAATATATCTCTTATATCACTTTGTAAAGCTGGACCAATTAATAGTTGTTTGTTCAAAGATGTTCCCGTACTTGTCTCAGCTGAACCATCAAAAACAACACGAAGCTTGGTGGTTATTCTTTCCTCCTTTAATATTCCGTGATGTGGGAGGTAACAAATCTCAGACTTGTTCAAATCTTCAGGTGGTACCTTCTCCATATGTTGTAACTGTTCATAATCGTACATAAATTCTAAATAACGTTCTTGAAATATCTTATTCTTCTGAAACTTTCGTTCAATTTGCAATAATCGTTTGACAGCAAGAGATCTTGTTTGGTCGAGCGGTGTGCCATTATACTTTGAAAATGGTAGTGCTACAATATAACGCCCTGAGTCGGTGCGAGAATGTGTCTTTTCAAATATCTCCTCACACTCTGTTTCACTTGCAGTCAGTATACGGTTTTTGGTGAATAGTTCTTCAGATTCCCAGAATCGCTGTAATAACTTATCTGTCTCAAGTTGGCTGTGCATTAAGACAACTTCTCTAATTTCAGTGTGCTTTCCTTCAACTTTTCCTGAAATAAACCAACCAAGAAGCGAATTCTGTGCAATTATTGAGCCATATTTCTTTAATCCATCCTTAATAATCTGAGCATATATTTCAGCCCCCAACAAAAGATCAATACTACTAGGCTTTGAAAACGTAGGATCTGCTAAAGGCAATGTTTTTATACTTGATGACAAATTCAAGCGCATCTCTTGGCGTGGCAATATCGAAGAAAGTGACTTCAATACATGAGCTTCTACATTGACTATCGGCGTGTCATTGTATAATGAAAAAATGTCGAACCCTGCAATCTCTTTAGAAATCATCGATAGTTTTGAATCGATTCCTGTCACTTTGCTGAAATGACGCTCTGTACGTAATCCAAGTCGCTGAGCAGCTGATATTGTAATGAACGATGCTTGTGACCCTTGGTCAATCAGCGCTCGCAACTGATACTTCTTGCCATCATTACCTATAACTCGAACCATGGCCGTAGCTAGTAAGACCTGTGTATCAGTAATATCAGTTGTATGGACAGCCAGCTGGGAAGTGTCCTTTTCTTCTTTATCCTCCTCATGCTCTTTACTAACTTGTGTAGCATGAGTTTTTTGCTTTTCATAGGAACTCAGATGTAAAAGAGAATGATGACGTCGCTTGCATATTTTGCAAGATTTAAACTGCTTACAAAATTTAACACTATGCCCAGGTACAAGACAATTGAAGCATAGTTGTTTCTCTTGGACGACATCTCTACGTTCTTCTGGGCTCAATTTCACAAACTCCTTGCAGTTGTAGATGTAGTGATCTTTCAAACAAAACGAACAAATGACTTCGATATCCGCTTTGAACGATCTGATTGACGGTTGACGCGTAACAACTTCTTTGTGTTGTGTAGCACTCAAAGCCTCCAACGATCTGAATCTTACCTCCAAAAAATCTAACATCTGCTTAGTAGTCGGAATATTTCTAGTCCCTGCTAACTGTTGTTCCCCTAAACGTTGACTATCATTGTCGAACTTTACTACAATGATATGTGTGATAAGAGGATCCCAGTTTGTTGTTGTTACGCCAACATTATTAAGTGCGTTCAATACTTCATTCATGGTGTCTAATAATGCGCGTAACCCTTTGGCTGACTCTAACGTAAGCTTCCTTTGATTAAGTAGACGTGTGATATGCGAATGTACTATAAGTCTTTTGTTATCATACCTTGACTCCAATACTTCTAATGCTTTCTCATAGTTTGCTTCTGTTAATGGAAACTGCTTTAATAAATTCTCTGCTTCGCCCTTCAAATTACTTTTCAGGTAATGATATTTCTCTATGTTAGACAACTGTGTATTATTATGTATCAACGACTTGAATAAATCATAGAAGCCTGTCCACTCATTGTAACTTCCTGAAAAGGCAGGTATTTCAATTGTTGGTAACCTTAGAGCTTTGCCTGGAGCTGTGGAGACAGGAACTTCTCCCTTATTCATAGAAGTCGACGAGTTTAAAAGCAATTCTTCCAATTTCTCTTTCATCAAAGTCTTAAACTCGAAATAGACATCTTCACAACTATAGTACGTATCTTCTTGAAAATATGTTAAACTTTTCTTTTCTTCTTGCGTTGCCCTTCTCGTAATGTCAAAATGGTTGTTTTTGAATAATTGAAAGTTTGCTTCTAATGAATCTAATCTTGTTTCAATATATGACTTATTTATTCTTGCTTTCGATTTCTTGAAATTGGATAAGGCTCTATTTATTTGTATAGATAATTCATTTTGCGTAATAATTATTTCTTGTAAAGACATTTTTCTTGCAGTTACTTGACACAATAAAATATTACTCTTTATTCAACTTAGCTTTTTCATATATCCATGGTATGAATAATACAGAAAAGGAGAGTATATTTAAAATAATTTTCCGTTATACTCTTTGAATAATAGAGAAAAGGGAGTTTAATCAAAATAATTTTCCGTTATACTCTTTTCCAACTGTCAAATAATTATCCGTATTTTACGACGAATATTTTCCCTTTTATTATGTATATTTCTTGAAACCTATATAATATTTACGACTTACAATATCCAAATATTTGTTTTATCGTCACTTATTCAAATCCGGCGAGTTATGCACCAAATGTTCACACATCACACTATACTACGAAATGAAACATCTAACGTAGGCTGACATAACTAACTTTATTGACAGTTTACTTTTTTATAAACTACTAAACACCCGTATTACTTTATAGCTACCACTGCTTCGAGACAACAAACGGTCTATCTTGTAATAGAGTTTGTTTTGCAAAGTTTGAGGTCGCTTGACGGTAGTTTTTATTCGGTTTCAGCGGAAGGCAAATACGTGGACGCGACCCAGGAGATGCTGGCGCTGGGCGTGTGCAACATCGCGTCGTCGCTGGTTGACTCGATGCCGGTGTCGGGCGCGCTGTCCCGCGGCGCCGTCAACCACGCGTCCGGCGTCGCCACCACCGCCGGCGGCCTCTACACCGGCGCACTCGTGCTGCTGTCCTTACAGGTACCGGCGCGCTCGTGCCGCTGTCCTTACAGGTACCGGCGCGCTCGTGCCGCTGTCCTTACAGGTACCGGCGCGCTCGTGCCGCTGTCCTTACAGGTACCGGCGCGCTCGTGCCGCTGTCCTTACAGGTACCGGCGCGCTCGTGCCGCTGTCCTTACAGGTTCCGGCGCGCTCGTGCCGCTGTCCTTACAGGTACCAAGGGGAATGAGGAGCTGCTGTAGTACAACTTCTACCAATGTCACACTGGCGTGCACTCGTTAATAGTTCTAGCCACACTGCACCAGAGGCACTGATATCAGTTCGTCCTCTGTTTTTTTGGTAGCGGAAAGACGTAAGTGCGTGCACGAGTCAAAAAAACAATATTTTTTTCATAAACGTTTGAATACAGCCTGGTACACAAGACATGTTTTTTTAGATAACTTTACAATTTCAGCAGTAGCAACGTCATTATGAAATTTTTATTGAACTTGAAACTACTACTACTTTTATTGCATAAAGTATGATATTATAATAATAATATAATTTTTTTTTTTTTATTTATTTATTTGAAAATCAACGGCGTTTACAAAAGTATTTGAGTATAGTATAAACCAACAGTAAGGCTATTTACAGATTTTCCATAAATTAATTTATAGTATATTGTGTTTACAGTCAGAAACATTCAACTGCCTTAAGCTAGGTGAAATCCATACTGATGGAAACAATACTGAAAGCAATTCTATTTCAGCTTCTATAACTCAACAAAATGTCTTCCAAACGATATGGGTATCTATGAAAACAAATGTTTACAGTTAATTGGCCACGAAATGCTAACCATTTTAGTATTTTATATCCCGCCCTGCATAACTGCACACAACCACCTAAAGTGTTTTCAAGATTTAAAATTAAATCGTGCTGCTAAGTAAAAAATAAAAATTACATAATGATAATCACTCCAGAACAAATATAAAATAATAAGACAGATATTTTATGCATAAACAACCACGTACCAATGCTACACAGTGTCGCCGAGAATGTTATCAATAATTCTGGATTTAAATGAAATTTTGGAGTAAGCAAAAAGATCGATTTTTGAAAACTTATCATTGTATGTCTGGCACAAACGCGAAAGAACCGAGTTTTTTCCGTAGTTGGTTGGGTGAAACGGAACATGAAGTAGAGGGGTATGCTTAGATTAAAACAAAAAGGGTAGATACGGTACGCTCTTACTTGCATCAAACAAAAACTGATTCCACTTTACTACATATGTAACACTCACACATCCACCTGTTTGTAAAGATACAATCGAACGAACGAAACAGCAATATAAGTTTCAACGGCAGCGCGAACGGGACGGCGAGATCAGCTTCACTGCAATACCGACCCGAACGAAACAGCACGTTAACTTTCAACTGCAGCGCGAACGAGACGGCGAGATCCGCGTCACTGCGCTACCGACCAATCACGCGACCAGTACTCGACGTCACTACAGAGTAGCGTCAGAGAAAAAAATAAAAGTATTTTTTATTAAATAGAAGTTTTTTATTAAAATTCAATAAAAAAATTCCACATTGAGCAATTTTAAATCTACTTCGAAAAGCTGAGGGAATGAAACTGTTTACAAGTATACCAAAGTGTAGTATACTAAAAGTAGGTTTTTTTTACATGATAACGTCAACATTTTTTTTAAGGTATCTTATACTGCTGGATGTGGTCATTTTTATTGTATTCAGTGTTTAAAAGAATCTAATCGAGATACAATTTTTACTAGAAACTTTACACTTATTATATTTTAATACCAATCATAAACTGATTGTTCAATAAATAAAAATAAACTAAAATAATATTAAAAAAGTTAAAATCAGACACACATTAATATATCACCTGATAAAAAATCAGTTAACAAGCGTACCTACTAAAAGTAGGTTTTTTATACGATACCGTCAACAATTTTTAACGATACGATGTCAACGATAGATACATGCTGCTGCAGTTGATAATGATGGGCAAAGTGGACGGAAAGAGACGTGCTGGGCGAAGAAAAAAGTCATGGCTCCGGAATATCCGGGAGTGGACCGGTATTGCCTCCGTCGAACAGTTGTTCCGGCTGACTGCTGATAGAACTACATACAGGAAGCTAACGGCCAACCTTCAGGATTGAAGAGGCACTGGAAGAAGAAGAAGGGTACAAAAACAATTTTAAAGAATAAAAACGCCATTTTGTAAGTACAGAGTATATTAAAGCTAAAATGTCTGAAAAAATAAATAAACCTCTTCAAAGAAACCAAAATGTAATGAGTTTAATAAATGCAGCATATTTTTTACCTACATAAATTAATATTTCAAAAAAAAAATACGAAATATTTTTTTGTTGACTCTACCCAATTTATACTCTCGACTGACATTACAATGGCAAATATTCGCGCTTATGTTTTTTCTCCCTCATACAAACGTTTACAAGTGTTGTTGTCTTTTTCTTAATAACAAATACCGAATAAGATTCAAAACAAACAGCATTTTTTATGAAAAAATATATTTTATAGTACTTACGAATGAAAAGTGATGCCGTCGGTTTTATTTTTAGTTCTTGAGCAATTTGAGCACTTTTTAAAAACACACTTAGGCATTGTTTTATCATATAATCACAAAATTTTAGCAATATTTCTTTCTGACGTTCACATGTACGTCATTTGCATGTCAAGTTGTGACTAAAGCGATTGTGGCCTTGGGCCACAATTTATGCGGATCACTTTTGTGAGGCTAGTGCCGTATCTACCCTTTTTGTTTTAATCTAAGGGGGTATGTCGAGTTCGTCGACGCGGCGCGCTCAGTCCCATCCTCGCCAACAGATCCGGACAGTCCAACCTACCGTTTATTATATCGTGTAACAGATTCATGTCTAAAACCGTTCTTCTTTCATCCAATGTCAAAATAGCATACTGGCGACAACTATCTAAATAGGAGTTTGAATTAACTCGCAGTCTGTAATCTAGATGCTTTATAAACCTTTTTTGAATATGCTCTAATCTTTCCGAGTGCAGTTTGAAAAGGGGTGACCAGATGGGACTTGCATATTCTAAAATGCTACGCACCAGTGCATAGTAAATTGATTTTAAAGCAAGCAAGTCTTTAAAAGGTTTACATACACGCAATAAAAACCCTAAATTTTTGTATGCCTTTGCAGTAATATAGTCAATGTGTTTAGTCAGAGTAAGTTTTTGATCAAATATAAATCCTAGATCACGCATGCAGTCTACTCTTGTAATAGGCACACCATTAAAAGTATAAGTAAAAGAAATGGGGTTACGTTTCCGTGTGTATGTAATGAATTCACATTTTGTAATATTTAAATTAATTTTGTTTATGATGTAATAATTATATAAACGATCTAAGTCCGATTGAAGCAATCCACAATCTTCCAAGGTTCTAATTTTAAAGAAGATTTTCTTGTCGTCGGCGTACATTAAGTGATGGGCATTTTTAAAGCACGACATTATATCAAATAAATACGCGTTATAAAAAAGAGGTCCTAGGTGCGATCCCTGCGGAACACCCGAAGGTATGTCAATAAAATCGGACCTGAATCCACCCACCACAACTGCCTGTGACCGCTTGGAAAGATAAGACTGCGTCCAACGAAGCAAATCTCCGTGTATTCCAAGGCTATAGAGTTTGTTTAGGAGGATGACGTGATCCACACGATCAAAAGCTTTTTCAAAATCAGTGTAGATCACGTCAACCTGTCCACCACCCTCCATACACTTGTACACATAATCAGAGAAACAAGCTAAGTTGGAAACTGTCGAGCGTCTTCGAAGAAATCCATGTTGGGTATGAGGCAAGCCTTTACAAACGACAGCATATATATGATTATAGACTAATCTCTCTAACATTTTAGCTAAGGTGTTAAGCAGAGAATCAAATAAATAACATTGCTATTTTGTTTTTCAGTATTTCACTCCATATTTCTACTACATTCCGAAGGCGTCGCTTGCAGCTGTCATCATCGCCGCTGTAGTTTTCATGATGGAGTTGCACGTGTTCAAACCAATTTGGAAGACGAAAAGTAAGTCCTTTGAACTAAATAAAACTTATAACTTTATAGTTTAATATTATTTAAAAGGAGGAAGGAAACAATACACTTATATACATGTGTATCATTTAATACTAGAAGTAGGGATAAATTTGTGGGAAATGGGATATATAGTGAGATCAGGCTATTGGAAAAGGGAGTTATATGGACGAGGACAGGAGAAGATGTGGTGTAAATTGCCCTCATGCAACCCACACTCACAATAGGACTATTAAGTATACCAAGCTTCGCAAGATGGGAAGGAGCATACGCATGACCTGATCTTAATCGGATCAATATTGAAGTTTCCATTTTGCCCAGCTTGATTTTCCAAAACCATGGTTTAAAAGGTATGACTTTTTGAATCTGTGCATATGATCTACCTCTACTATGTTGGCTCGTGTCCCAAACCGTTTGCCATGCATTTGAAATGAAACTTCTTTACGAACGCTTGACTTGGGGGGTAAGCTGGAGAATGCGTTACGCGTTACGAAAAGTGTGTTCGGGCGCGCGAACGGGAGTTGAGTGGAGGATATAAGCATGAGAAAGCAGTGCGCGCGCACATTTTCTTTCTCTCTTTCTCATAGGTAGTAAATGAAATGTGTTTTTTTTTATGGATAAGTCCGACAAATGACTCCACTCCACCAGATGTTAAGTGATGATGAAATCCAGACGTGAAGATAGCTGGTACAGCAGTTCTACCTGCCACACCAGCCATCCTCACCCTGCCGGCCTGCAAGTTGCTTCTTCACGCCTCTTTTAAAGGATCCCAGGTTGTAAGAGGGAGGGAACACGCGAGCGGGCAGAGCATTCCATTTACGGATAGTGCGACAAAGAAATTCTTTGTACGCGTTGGAATTGTGGCCACAGTTAGACGGTGACACCGATGGCCAGCGCGCGTGGTTCTCTGAAGGAAAGGGGAACGTGGAATAAGAGAGAATAACTCTTCAGAACACTCATATATATATACATGTATGTATATACAGGGTGTGACAAAAGTAAAATAAAACTTTAGGGTTTAGTTGTGTTCCTTGTATAGAATTACCTACGAAAGTTTTACGCCTTTCAGACCACTTTTATTTTCTAATTAAATTAATAAAAATACCGTTTTATACCTGCCTATGACAACCCTATAAATGCGTACGATTACTACTACCTAAGCAGACCCCCTCTCTCCCCCAGGCACCCCTGCGCCCCGCTCAGATACCTACAAATTTTTATTTTGGAATACATACCTACAAATTTTATTTCGGAATTCTGTAACACCCTGTATATGTACATACATGTATATATTCACAGACACACATACACACATACAGATGGATCTAAAGAAGTTTCACTTGCGTCGTGTGGTCATAAGCACACTCTTTTTTTTTTAAGATACAATTTTGGAAATCAGAGGTGTTAATGTCTTCGTATGTTGGACAGAGGTTGACCTGATCCCGGGCGTGGTGACATTCGGCATGTGCCTGGTGACGCGGCTGGAGCTGGGCATCGTGGCGGGCATCGCCGTCAACCTGCTGTTCCTGCTCTACGCCTCTGCGAGACCCTCCGTCACTGTCACGCATGCTGTCGTACGTATTTAACACTTTAAAACTTTCGTTGGATTTGAGGAGCTCGATGGCGCGGGTGGCTAGCGCGTTCGGCTGCGATAGTTGAAGTTAAGCAACTTTCGCAGTGGTCGGTCATTGGATGGGTGACCAAAAATATTCTGCTTGCTTCGTAAGGCACGTTAAGCCGTCGGTCCCGGCTGCATCTGCAGTCGTTAGCATCTGCCAATCCGCACTGGGCCCGCGTAGTGGGTTGTGGCCCAATCTCCCTATTTCGTCCATAGGGAAGCCCTGTGCCCCAGCAGTGGGGTCATTAATAGGCTGATGATGCTGATGACACTTTCATTTGTCGTTTTTAAGATATCGCAAACTAATGTGATCTTATAAAGTTAAGGATAAGTATATCAGTAAATCACTGGAATACATTAACTTAGCATGCTATTTTTATGCCAATGCAACAATAAAGTTTATATGTTTCACAAATTTGAGTGTGCTCTTCGAATATAATGCTCCACTCGCGATTCAAACTCGCTTCGGTTGGGTAAGCATCGATTGTGTATAGAAGCATAGGTAATTTTTGTTTCTCGTACATTTTATAAACAGATTTACTCATGTTGTGAGTAAAACTGTTTAAGCACCACTGTAATACCGCGGTTTTTGGTGCAAAATTATATCTTCCTTACTTAACATAGTTTTTTTTTAAACACATTGTTACTAACATTCTATGGACTGTATAATATTGTCTGAGAATAAATTATTATTATTAAATAGTTCGATATAATTAAGTCAAAAAGAGAGTTGCTCCTAAAATGGATTTCATAGATATACCGTTAAGGAACATGTAGAATATAATAATAATTGATCTCAAGACGGAATTCTGTGTGGTCCCCTTTAAGATGAAAAATATGGCATCGAGTTGTAGTCATTCACAAGTTTTACCTTTAACAGCCGATGCTTTAAATAAAAAAACAAATCAAATAGCGCGCTTTCGCTACTTTCTGTCACACAATTCCGTCCCATTTCACGAAATCACTCCCACAACTTGCAGGAAAGCCAGAAGAAAGATGTTGAAAATAAATAAAATAAAAAGATGTTACACATAAAAAAACAAATAAGATGTGATGCTCAGTTTTCATTAGCGTATACCGTATCGCGGTGCTCATGCGCTAGGGACTACAAACGATGATGTTATCTAATAACAATAATAATAATAAATATTTCCGACACTCACACCAATTAGCCTAGCCCAAAGTAAGCACTATAAGGCTTCTGTTATGGGATGCTAGGGTAACGGATAGAATACATAATATACTGTACATATATAAGTATATTTATATAAATACATATTAAACATCCATGACTGGAGTACAAATGCTCGTATACATCACACAAACATCTGCCCCCACCGGGATTCGAACCCGGGACTTCTCGAGTCGGCGACAGCCATGAAACCCGGCGTACAAACCACTCGGCCACGGAGGTCGTCAATGATGATGATGATAATGATGGTGGGTGTCCCCGTGCCGCAGTCGGGCGACGGCGTGGAGCACGTGGTGGCGGCGGTGGACCGCGCGCTGTCGTTCCCGTCCGCGGAGTACGTGCGGCGCGCGCTGCGCAAGGCCGCGCCCGGCCCGCGCCCGCTCGTGCTCGACGCCACGCACGTGCAGGCCGCAGACTTCACCGCCGCAGAGGTGAGTGCGGCCCGCGTCACGTTCCCGTCCGCGGAGTACGTGCGGCGCGCGCTGCGCAAGGCCGCGCCCGGCCCGCGCCCGCTCGTGCTCGACGCCACGCACGTGCAGGCCGCAGACTTCACCGCCGCAGAGGTGAGTGCGGCCCGCGTCACGTTCCCGTCCGCGGAGTACGTGCGGCGCGCGCTGCGCAAGGCCGCGCCCGGCCCGCGCCCGCTCGTGCTCGACGCCACGCACGTGCAGGCCGCAGACTTCACCGCCGCAGAGGTGAGTGCGGCCCGCGTCACGTTCCCGTCCGCGGAGTACGTGCGGCGCGCGCTGCGCAAGGCCGCGCCCGGCCCGCGCCCGCTCGTGCTCGACGCCACGCACGTGCAGGCCGCAGACTTCACCGCCGCAGAGGTGAGTGCGGCCCGCGTCACGTTCCCGTCCGCGGAGTACGTGCGGCGCGCGCTGCGCAAGGCCGCGCCCGGCCCGCGCCCGCTCGTGCTCGACGCCACGCACGTGCAGGCCGCAGACTTCACCGCCGCAGAGGTGAGTGCGGCCCGCGTCACGTTCCCGTCCGCGGAGTACGTGCGGCGCGCGCTGCGCAAGGCCGCGCCCGGCCCGCGCCCGCTCGTGCTCGACGCCACGCACGTGCAGGCCGCAGACTTCACCGCCGCAGAGGTGAGTGCGGCCCGCGTCACCGTGTACCACGGGCAACCCGTGGCACGGCGCACAACACGATTTTGCAACGTTTATAACTTACATTATAACAAAAAGGTAAGATACGGTACGCTCATACTAGCATTAAATAAAATATGATCCGACTCAATTAAGTACTTAAGCAACTCTCACACACCAAGGGCGGATCCAGAGGGGGGGTCACGGGGGTCATGACCCCCCCTGGGCTGGGTCCATCTGTACCCACATCAAAATCTGTACTACACAATCTGTACCCACTGTGGCTTGACCACGGCTATATGACCCCCCTCCCTGGCGCCAAAGCTTGTATATAAACATTCAATCGAGCAAGCGAGACAGAACTATACGCTTTTACGCAGCGTGTTGTTGTCCTTTTTTTGATAACAAAATGGCGACTACGTAAATGACATTCACGACAAAGCGTGATTTTTGAGAAAAAATGTTTTTACAGTTTTACGAATGAGAAGTGTTGCCGAGACATTTGTAATTTGATTTTGAACTATTTGTGTTCTTTATAATAGCATCGAAGGCATTGTTTTATCTTCATAACACAAAATATACGCAATTGTTATTTGAGTGCACATGCAGCGAGTGAATATCCAATTGTGACTAAATCGAATTATGGTCATGCACCACAATTTAAGCGAATCACTTTTGAGCCGCGAGTGCCGTATCTTCCCTTTTTATTTAATATAAGGTTTATAATGGTTTAAAACACGACGGTCGCGCGTAGGTCGCCTAAGTCATGATAAAGCGGATGCAAGTTTTGTAAATTCTCAACTTGTGCCTAAGTGACATTTTACTACGCTTCCCTATAAGGTGGAATAGCCTGCTGTGAACGAATGCTGCGCTATCACGAACTATCTTGAAATGAGATGCAAACGTCAATCGGTTATCTAACGCGACTCCCAAGTACTTGACCCGGTCCTCCCAGGGGATGACTCTCTATGTGCTATCTACCTACCTACCTCAATTCGCCATCTACGGAACTTATCACCGAGGGTGGTAGCGGCTGATTGAAGTCTTTTACAGGCTGTTCCGAGACGTCTATTGCAGGTATTTTTCAAAGTAACAATTTTTAGGAATATTTATTTGTACCTACAAAAGTGCTAGTTATCTACACTCCTCGATTTCGCCTTCTCGATTATTTCTGTGTGCCCACGTGCCAGACACGGACCAGTGTAGTTCGTTCTAGATTTGTCTCACTGATGTCACTTGTAGTAAGTATGTAATGCCCAGTTTTATTTGAGTTATATACTTGATATTTTTGGATAGTTCAGGTAAGTAATGTTAATGCGAAGGCCATCAAGAAATCACTGCCTAACTAAAGTCACATGTAATGTTATCTCCGAACGTCACTGCATTCCGCTTGGATCTTCAACAATCAGTGAGAAAAACAGATAGAATAAGATTTTCCGAACCATCAGTCAATAAAGATAATTCCACTACTTAGGTTTTAATTATAATTAATATTACTAATAAGCAAGTTCACTTTGCCAAATTAAGGCTAGATTTAACGCAACACTTTTTACCCGAACCGACCACGGGAGCAAGAGAGCTGTCGCCAGCCGCTGCAGTTGCGAGAACGCCATGAACTTAGCAGGAAGAGATCCCAAAGTAGACGATACTTGATTTTTCAGTAAAATTCCCGCTGACTAATCACAGATAACGCGGGACAAATATACGGGCGACGACGACCCGCGCGACACTGCCGGTACTCATCATCGAAGTTGAGGTTACACAAAACGAGACCCGCAATGCTTTTTCGCGTTCTTGCACTCGATTAGCCTCTATTAACTAAACATTATAGTGCAGGTTAGACGATAGTCTCCCCTATTCAGTTCTGACTACAGTAAAATTTCGAAATAGCAAATCCCATCCTTATAATTAAAGCGAAATTACCCTGAAATTGTCGTGTTTCCTGATTTAACTACGATTTCATCTACAGTCTACAACCTTGTAGTGAAGAAACTTAGTTAATTTTCATTTTCAAGGTTTCATAAGGGTGCGAAATACTAACCCTCATCTGAAATGCAAGCCTTGAGCTTAAAGACTTCTATATATCTGTGTGCAGGGCATAAAATCTCTGATCGAGGACTTCCACGCGCGCGGCCAGACGATAATCTTCTACAACGTGAAGCCATCGATCGCCGGCATCTTCCGCGGCGTCAAACCACGCGAGTTCCTGCACTGCTCGTGCCGCGCGCAGCTCGACCAACTATTGCTGCGCGCGCACAATCTTGCCAAGCAGCGGGAAAAACAGGAACCATAGGTCAGTATACAAGCAGTAACCATAGGTCAGTATTTAAGCAGTAACCATAGGTCAGTATTTAAGCAGTAACCATAGGTCAGTATTTAAGCAGTAACCATAGGTCAGTATTTAAGCAGGAACCATAGGTCAGTATCTAAGCAGAAACCACCGGTCAGTAAACTAGCAGGAACCATAGGTCAGTATACTTGCAAGAACCATAGGTCAGTATTTAAGCAGAAACCACGGGTCAGTATACTAGCAGGAACCATAGGTCAGTATACTTGCAAGAACCATAGGTCAGTATTAAAGCAGGAACCACCGGTCAGTATACTAGCAGGAACCATTGGTCAGTATTTAGGCAGGAATCACGGGTCGTTATACTAACAGGAACCATAGGTCAGTATTTAAGCAGGAACCACGAGTCAGTATACTAGCAGGAACCATAGGTCACTATTCCAACAGGAACCATAGATCAGAATACGAGTAGAATCCATAGTAAAGCAGAAACCATAGGTTCAATATATTGTAGACTATACTAGTAGACTATACTATACTTAGTATACAAGCAGGAATTGTAGGTCAGTACCAGAGGCGTGTTTATCACAAGGCCAAGAATTGCCATTGATTACCATAATATAGGCCTATATCAACCTCTTGGGAGGTTTATAAAAGCAAAAACTAAACTGTTTGTATACTATATTGTCTATGCATCTCTTACTATTTTCCGTCACTTCAAATAGATTATCTCATCCACAATAATTGGTCAGTACAGTCTGATATGTTTGTAGGAATCTTTTAAGAGTGGAGGTGGGCTGTTTTCTCCATACAAACGTTCTTGATTGATTCGTACTTGATTTTTATCACTAAAGAATTGATTTTCATACATAAAATATAATTTGACTCATTCTATGCTCCTATCCTTTTTTCGATAACTTGTGTTTCAAAGAAACTGAATGCCCTCGAAAAGGGCCAAAAATAAACAAATTTTTATCACCACTAAATACGTTTAGTGTGGAGATTTAATAAGCAGTTTCAAAAAAAATAACAAAACAGAGGCATAGAATAACTACTTATTATTCTTTGTATATTAATTTTCGAGGAGGAAATCGTCGAGAGCCAAAAACCTCGAATTTTGCAATTTTTATACGCCATCTTCAGCGTTAACTACTGTTGTCCTTATCACACGGTACTTGCCAATGCGTGACAGCAATAGTGTTTTCAAATACCTATTTCTCAAATGTCTCTCACCTCGCGTCCGCTTATAAGTAATATTTTTAAAATAAAGGCTACGAAACGTCAATAAATAAATAAAGTTTCGTGCTTTAACCCGTAAAAACTAGTTTTATTTAATGAGTGATGTGCGTGAAAACCTAAGAAACAAATATTTTTATTCCATTTCAGGGCGTGCGCGGCGCGACGCAGCCATCGCAGCTAGATAGATCTCCGCTAGTTCCCAAGTGACATACGACAGTATTTATTAGTTGATGTACATACGTAGCCGCGTACCATAACGTATTTATTAGCCCTCTTGTAAGTTAGCTGTACTTTAGTCATATACGTGTGTGATTGACGTCGTCCGGCGGACCGACAGTAAATAAATGTTGACTTTGTTTGTTTTCGTTATCTACTTCTGTAGCAAGAGGAGACGCGATTCAGTTATAGTAAGACTATTCCTTTAATCGTGAATCTCAACTCGTTTAGTGTATACTGTATAGCGATCGGTATGGCTGTGAATTGTGTCTTCGAGATGATGTCGGGATCAATTATAATGTTGTTTATGAATAAAACGATCGATTGGAGATAATAAATGTATTTATTTTACAATCGTCGACACACTCCGGTGCGGATCGCACAGCCGTAGCACTCTGCGGGACACTCCACTACACATACTTCGATACACGACACTTTGTTTATAATTACGACTACAGAGTCTCCTAAATCTTTGACGAGCAAATGACAAACTTTATTCATCATACTTGTATTTGGCAAAACGTATGACGAATTCCATTTGTCATTCCCCCTCGAAGTGGACTCGTTAATTAGACATTAGAGCGCGCGCCGCCCGCGACAGCGCAACGCTTACAATTCGAACTACATTGTAAGAATTCATTTAGCGTTTACATTTTGATAAAAATGCATTTATTAATATAAATGACTTGACATTGGAAGAATCAGATATCGTTCACGCACGTCTTTATTGAGACTGTATTAGGGGCGTCCATAAGTTACGTGAGGTGTTTTTTGAATTTTCTGCCCCTCCCTCCCCAGCTGTTGAGATGTCGTGAGATTTTATTCAACCCTCTCCCCCATCCCCCATTCTCACGTGAGATTTTTCAAAATGTGGGTTTACGTGTTCTTGTAAAAAGAAAAAAAAATCGCTTCGTGCTTTTATTTTAATGGTCTTACGATTACGCTGAAGATTAAATCTTAAGCATGTACAATCTAGATTAAATGGACCAAAATAGTAAATTTTTTTTTTGTTTCAATCAGAAACAAAATTGCGTGATATTTGCCGAGACCCCCTCTCTCCAACGTAAGATTAGATGAGATTTGACTCGACCCGCTCCCCCCCTTAAACATCTCACGTAATTTATGGACGCCCCTTTATAACATTAATAAGTCGAGTAAACATAAACGTTATACACGCCACTAAACTAAGTTGATGCAACATTTAGCACCACCGTAACAATAACAATTTAGGATTGAGCAGAGGGGTAATTCATTACAAAGAGACAAGAAAAACAACTACAATTTTAAAAGTTTTAATTAAAATCCCTTTAAGGTATCTAATGAAAAGTGAGCAGAAGGTTGTATATTATGAAGTAGCATACGTAATCCTCGCACGATCAATACTGCATCAATTTCATTTTGGTTTCAAAGTTAAATGCATTTTTGATCGTTCGAGAACATGAAATACAGCACCTGAATGTCATAATAAAAGTTGTACACGGTATATTGGTGTAGTATAAGGACAAGAGCACAGGATGACGGGAGCGAATCCGCCGAGAGATTGAGGACGCGACCACGGAACGGACGCACTTAATGAGGGCTACCGTTTTGTGCCTCACCAGATGGCGCCACTGTTGAGTGAGGTCCTAAATTGTAACTTTTAAAGTTTATTAATACGCACATGAAATCAAAGGTTACATTTAGATCGTATTTTAACACAAAAGAACCATATCCTAAACATAATAGGCCATGCCACAGTGACGCGCAGTTCCGTTTTATTCGGAAAAAATGGGAACATAATCATTTTTCTAAGCTCAAATTTTTAATAACTGACATTCATTGCCACATAACTCATATTTGCCATAATTAAGCCGAATTCTTACCAATTATTCACAACATTATTTTAATTAGAAATAAACCCGCGTAGTCAACCAACAAGCAATAACATTTGACATTTCGGAGACCTCACGCTACACTAGCGCCTCTAGCGGCGGATTCATACGCGATAGCCCTCATTACATAGACGGAGTCGGCAACTAACTATTTAGTTTGATCAAAATTGGTGCTGTCACTTTCGTTGGCACTCACCGGCAAAATATTAATCGTCGGGACACATCTGTAAACAACGGTCTGTAGCAAAAATACAGGGTGTTACAAAAATACAAATAAATCTTGAAGGGCGTTGAAGTACATCATATAATGAATCTTCTCTAATTTTCTTTATTACAGCAGATTTATTACTACTCCTGGTAAGGTGCATGACCTCGAACTAGTGACATGTCTTAAAATGATCGATATTTTTATTAATCATTAAAAATATCTGTTTTTATAAAAAGTTCAAACTTCTTGCAGATATTTTAAGAAAATTTGAGAACACTCCTTATATGATGTACTTCAACGCCCTTCAAGCTTTATTTGTATTTTTGTAACACCCTGTATATGTTAGATTGAGCAATAATAATATATTTTTAAAGCTATATTTTCTTTAGCTTTAAACATCGAGCTGTTACATGCTTAAAAAATTAAATATTACAATAATGATATATTTAAAAAATACACACGAAAACGATGTTTAATAAGTCAGCTTCGAAACTGCGTAAAACGTTTTTGCTTAATGTAACATTTTTAGCTAGGGACCGGACCGTCAAACTTAAAATGCTAGGTAGACCGATAGATGTGTGCGGAAGTAAAAATACCAAATTTTATGCAAACCGATAAACTACGCTTTAAAAATACATAAATCACCAAACGGAGTGTTTAGTGCGATATTTTAAAGTATTTTAGAGTTTGTTATCGCCTCGTGTATTTGTACACATGACACAGAAGTCCTCTCAAGCGGAATATAGCACCCTAAACTCGATATATGAAGAGACATAAAGCTGCCTCGACTAAAGTTAAGTCTGGTCTAAAAATGATGCTGTCATTTTTGTTTGCTAAAAGACAGAGACAGCATAAGGTTTAAACCAAGACTAACTTTAATTTGCAATTCGAATAAATTGGAAAAAGACAGAAAACTTTTAAAAATCGTACTAAACAATCTGAGCACTGCATTCAAAAATTACAGATCTTTCAAGAGTTAGTCATAAATATCACTTGTTAATTTAATTCATTAGATAAATTCGCTTTCAATTCTGAATTAGTTAGTTCTTTTAGTTTAGTCGGGTTCGCCGCTAGGTGTCGCCCGTGCCGTGGCCGTCTGAGTAGTCGCTGAAGTTAGTAACGATTGCAGAGATCATCAAGGAGATTTATTAATACTGATTTGTTTCGATCAAGTATCGATAGAGGCAGTCGATAGATCTGTAGAGATCCATTAGTGGAGGTTTTGTTTTGAGAGATTTGCATTATTTCGTCACTTAAAATGCTGTATTAAAAATATATAGTGGCTCTTACCTCGCTTGCTACTTGACCCATACAAATCAGCGTTCACATAGCGCGACAGACTAACACTACGAGTGACCACAGTGGTCCCTAGAGGGCGTGCCCATCGACGCATACAAACATTACCTAACGATTACAATATGACACGTTACATACTCAAATAATGTAGTTTGCATTCCACCTCCGAGTCAACAATATAAAATAATGTATAATCGTAATAATATATGTATAGTGTACGGAACGTTCGAGTATTGTAAATGGACGCGGACGGCCGCCGCTGACTCGCGACAAAATGGCAGTTCACTAATTTGGCAGAAACACGCGGTGGCGAGAGATATCTAAACATTAAACTTACAAAAAAGTTAATACAAAAAACTAGTATAATGCGATTCAACTAAGAATAGGATCGACTGGGCGCCATTTTGTGGTGTCAAAGCTGTCAATGGAAACAAAATAGGTAGAGTGAGCAATAAAAGTTTTTCTTCGATAAAACTTATTTACTAAGATTAAGTGAGACAAAACATCAGATTTTATTAATAAAATTTATTTACTAATATTGAGAGAAAAAACCACCGATTTTTAATAACATTTATGACTGTGTGAGTAAAAATATTAATCGGAATCTAGCTTTTCAATTCCGCTGAGCTCTGCATAACTACCGGAGTTGTCATCGTCGTCATGTTTGTTTACAAATGTTCGGTTTTTTTATTCTAGAATTAGTTGAGTGTTAAAAAAGAGTTCCAAGAATTTTTGCAAACCGTACTTTTCAAGCGTCATTTGACAGATGGAGGTCATTGGCTTTCCTATTCTTATTTGAATCGCATTATACAGTGCGACAAGGATCTCTATGAATGTGGCGAAAATTGGAACTACCGCTGCCGTGTCTTTGAAAATGTGATTTTCGGTCATTTAGGTAGACAGTGGCGCCCTCCCTAAACTATCACTCGCTCATAAAATCCCTGTAGCACTACACAGTTTGATAAAAGAAAAACTGTCTCTTCGTTGACATTAATATAATGACGACACAGTTGGCAATTTCCAATGATTCTTTGGTATTAGTATTTCTAATGATGGTACGTCGACTTGCAGTCTTATAGTTGAGCGCTCATCAGCGGCGCGTCCCGATGTCTTAAAGTAAATGCGCGTTTCGACCACGTCCGGTGTAAATGCAAAACGCGACAAAACCAGCACTGCTGCGTACACGCTGTCTCCTTCACTCGTACGGTGAACGTTTCGAGTGTGATAAGGACGAAAATACTGCGTGTAAATAGCGCGTGCGTAAATCGCTACTGTCGCAACCGCGCCCGCGATGTGGAAGAAAAGGACGGCGGGCGAGGGAGCGAGAGGGAACATCCTAACTTACGTCCTAAACATACAATTAAAATAATACGCTAATTGTAATATGAATCTCTCGCGTTCAGAAATCATAATTATAAATTTGTGCGGCAATCGGATTCCGCCACATAACGAACGTATAATATAAAGTATTTAATTCTGACAAAATCATTAAAGCCAACACGACCGAATGCCGGTCAAACACCTAGATAACCTTGAGCTGAGATGTGCCCACGCGTGGGGCGGCGATGGGGACGCGTGGTCACGCGATCTCGTAGTAACGTGGTCACTCGGTCACGTGGTGTTATGGTAACGCGGTCACATGGTAAGATGGTCACGTGGTCACGCGGTCACGCGTCCCACAGGTCGTCGCCCGCAGCTTCTATCACACACACACTACAGAGTTCGAATTAAAGTTATAACTGTGATTACCATTAATAAGGAGCCACGAACAGTGACACTCCTCTACTTACACCCTACACTTCGCGAAATACAATTCATCATACAAAACTGCGAACCGATCGTACACTTTCAACAGACGAAAGACCAATGGAATTGTCATTTGCAGATCAATTATAACTGTCAAAACTGTAACACCGGTCGCACCGATTTATCATTTCACTATTCCGTATGGCCTCTGGATTAACTATGGAAAAATACTATATTTAGATCAATATAATCGCTACAACGATCGATCGGTGAGCGCACAATGGGGCTCCCTCAGTACTTCAACAGATCTTCGTCGTCCAACTCTGTGAGCGCCAGTTTACTGTCTATCACTGCAAACAAATACAAAACATTAATATTTAGTTCTCAAAATAAATCTAGATTTATCGAGTGCAACTAAAATAATGAGCATTTAGGTTTTTGTTTTTTAGATGCTCTCTACACTGTACTATACCTCCACCATTTTTAACCAACAATTTTTTGTATTTTATGATAAAACAGTGGTCTCACAGCTACTGTACAAGCCATGTCTTATCTATTAGACAAGTCCGTCCGTCTGTGGTGCTGTTTCAGCGGCCAAACCGTAAGAGATAGATAAAGAGAATATTTAAGTTATAAGTTAAGAATAGTCTGATAAGACTACAAACCGGATTTGAGTAACGTAGCACTTCCGGTTTTCGAGAAATCACGAATTTCAAACGAAACCACGCAAAATCTCCGAAGTTATCAATTAATTAAATACATTTCTTTTTTCTATTTTTTTTTAATTCAGGTTTTGGTGAACATTTGGTTCACTGGTTTGCTAGTTTTAATTATATTTTATTAAGTTTGCATTCCGAGTCGATGCACTCTAAACTGCTGACACAGTTGACCCACTAATTGGTTTAAGAACAATATTTTACATTATATGACAGTGCAATAAAGGCATTCACATCATATTGACGTATTTTAATAATTATCTCCTGACAAATCGTCCCGTGACTAATTGACATATTGACAGACGTTAGGGTCCTAGTAACGGCCTCTACAGCTACAATATTAAATGAAAACTAGCAAACCAGTGGACCAAATGTTCACCAAAACCTGATTTAAAAAAAAATGTATTTAATTAATGGAGAACTTTGGAGATTTTGTGTGGTTTCGTTTGAAATTCGTGATTTCTCGAAAACCGGAAGTGCTACGTTACTCAAATCCGGTTTGTAGTCTTATCACACTATTATTAACTTATAACTTAAACATTCTCTTTATCTATCTCTTACGGTTTGGCCGCTGAAACAGCACCACAGACAGACGGACGGACTTGTCTAATAGATAAGAGATAAGAGGTGGCAACAAGAGTCATAATGCAGTGCAACTGTACTCCAATGGACATGTGACCATGAGAGATGCAGTGATAACTCACTTTGGTCCGGGATAGTAGTACGGAGGGGGTCGCTCGTACTCAGTAGGTCCGTGGTAGCGGGGAGGGCCTTCTTCCCAGTGCCTGCAACACACACAGCCCGTCACCAAGTGCATCTCTATGTAATAAACCTACAATACCAGCCAAATGAAACAGGATACTAGGGAATTAACTGCTTCCACGCCAACTCAAAAGTCAGACCAGATAGGCACGAATCGACCGCAAAATGGGAAAAAACCGACCGAAAAAATAATTGGGAAATTTTGAATTTTGGCCTCGAAAGCTATGTTTGATTTTGCATAGTCTTTAGAGCTGCTGTGTGAATTATGAATACAACAACAAGGCCTATGGAACAAAATAATTAGTGTCCGACCGAAAGTTCGGTTTCGGTTTCGGCCGAGTTTCGGCCAAAAATTAAGTTTCGGCGGCAGTTTCGATTTCGGCCAAAATTAGCCGAAACTTTTGCCGAAACCGAAACTGATTTCAAAAGTTGTCGTGCACGCTCGAGTTCCTTCTTTTCTCGCACAACAGTCCATATCCTATATTGAGAAGTGCAGTTTCCTATATTGAGATAAAAAAAGATATTGATGATTCTTCTAAGTACAAAAACAAACCAAAGTATTAATTAATAAGATTTCAAAATACCAATGGGTATTTAATGTAACAGTAACCATTTGTGAATTGATTATTGATAATTGATAAAAATTTTGCTATGACAACTTAATTTGAAAAAATAATAAAAATATTATTAATATTTTTTCATATTATATTTAATAAATGATTACCTACAACAAAATGAATATAGGTACTGTGTTTCCATTTCATGTCCTAATTAATGCTGAATAATGGGTAAAATACACCAAATTTCAGTATTTAAGGAATTTTGATCTTGACCACGTGAGTTTCGGTTTCGGTTTCGGCCGGAAAATTAGTTTCGGTCGGACTCTAAAAATAATAAATATCTGTGCATCCCACAGTGCATTCGAGTCTCAAACCCAGGACCAACGATATTAAATACCCTAGATACAACAACACGAACAAAATTGTGGCCGAAACCTGTCCAAAAGGTACATTGGACGATCCATGGAGCTCCGTAAAATTAGCGCGTTGTCAAAAATAATACAAGTCGCTATTTAAACATTGAAAGACACCTTTAAAGCATACTGTGTAAGGTATAATTTAAAACGCCTGCGTCAAAGAGTTGTGATAGTTCGAAATGCAGGCTCGTTAAATTTTACGACTTATTGCTATATGCGGAAGAATATAGAGCTTATTTCTTTGACTCTACCTGCAAATATAATTATTCTGTTAGCAAAATAGCAGGTAAAAACCGCGAGGAAAAGAGACAACTATATAACCGACCATGCATTTGAATATCACAAATATTTACTATTAAAACAGTAAGTATAAGAACAGAATTTGCTTCAAATGCGCTAAATTAACAAACATTGATTAGATACCTGTCGAAAAAACACTTTACGTACTATACACAGTCAGGTCATAAGTATTGTGACACAGTAAAAACTTTTCTTTTAGAATGCTGGCCACAAAAAAGTTTATTGAACTCGAATTTCGAATTGTTCATGAAAAAAAAATGTATACTTTTTAGTCCGTTAGATTACAAGATATAGCAACACTTGGAGGAAAAGGCGTGCTCAAAGCCTCATTCCAGTTTGGAGTCACTCAAGACATCCTTGATTAAGGCAGCCGCCGATATTGACATGGACCTCGTTCGTGCTGCGATAGACGACTGGCCGCGCAGATTGAAGGCCTGTATTCAAAATCACGGAGGTCATTTTGAATAAACTTTATTGTCATAAGAATCTATGTTTTGTTAAGTTCATTTTGGTATATAAATGGTTACATAATGAATAAACTTGTTTCAATTATTTTATAATAAACATGTGACAGAATTTATGACCTGACTAGGTAAGTATTTTAATCGCATTTTTTTACGGAGATCTGCGGTATCTTGACTTTTCAACGGTCCGCGCGTGACTGTGAACCAAGAAGTGTTTGAGTGAAGTTTAAGCACTTCTTGATTGAGACACATTTTGGACGCACGTAGAGTATCTAGGTTATTTAATATCGTTGCCCAGGACATTTGGCGGAGAAATCAAGATTGCTGCCGCCGCACCAATCGGTCATCAAACTTGTACGCCACCGATTTGCAAAAGTCATCACGGCAAAACACTGAATAGCTTAATAGACCAGGATCGATAATTTTTGAGACCAAAAAAAATAATAGTAGGAGTTTTTTTCATTATTAATTTGCATTATCTGAGAACATTTATCATAGTAGTGTATATTTTTTTTATACCATCAGAAAGTAGAGATTTCAACAAACAAAAAACACCCCAACTTTTTTAAAAAAGCAGATATTTTGACGTGAGAATTTTCGATTGAAAATTAGGGTGCTTTATGGATATTAAGTCAAAATAAGGTGAAAAAATGAATATTTTAAATCAAAAAAAATACTGTGTGTTTGGGACATACAAAGGTAAGTTTTCACCAAATTTGGTGAAAAAAATTTTTTTTTGCAAAAAATAAAAATCAAAAACCAAAAACTCGGTTATTCGCATTTTTCACATAAATTTTGAGGTTATGTGAAAAAAGTGTCGATACAAAAGTTGTAGATCTTTTTATTACCTACAACTTTGCCATTTAACTTTTTTTCATAGGACTTGCAGTTTTACCGGAAATCGAGATTAACCATTTTTTACCCTTAAAAACTCACCCCCTCCCCCTTCCCGACCTCAGATCGCCCGTAATTTATTTTTCCTTTCATTTTTGTTATATTCTCTACCTTTTCTAATGGGTTTCATCCTACTATAATTTTTTTTCACTTTTCACAATTTTTAAAATATCGACCTTGGTCTATAACACATTGGCTGAAACTACTATAGTGAACTATACGTAGGTTATGTATGAATGAGATGCAAGATTGGCTGTCTCGTACGTGATATAGCCACAAATATTGCATTCTGTTTCATTTGTGCTGCACATCCGCGAAGTGGCGCCTAATACTATTAAGTGCGTGACATGGAAAGCAATTTTGTATAGGTGGGTACTTAATGAATTATGATTTCAGTGTCAATGTCACATTTAGTTAACTTTGTAAACATATCTGCTTCAAGCCAGATCTTAGTTTCAGAACTAAATTAGACTATAATTTTTATTTTTATTTTAAAGCAGGTAACTGCTTGATGTTTAAATCTAAAGAAAATATAACTAGAAAAAAATCCACGCGGACCAGGCATCAGACGGGACTCAAACCAGCACCCTTCGCAATCCGGGTGAATGCACTGACCAATTATGCTACCGCGGCCCTCACGGACCGCGTCGAAATTCCTCTAGCCATTCTTAAGCTGCAAGGCAGCGCCATCTCTTCGCATTATAGGTAACCCACAATGTCAAATGAATACTTTCACGCCTGGTCCGCGTGGATTTTTTTCTAGTTATATTTTCTTTAGATTTAAATTAGACTATTTTTCTTCATTCCTAGATTAACAGCAGCAGTAACCGTGGCCTACCTGTGTATATGGAGACGACAAATTTACCATAAAGCGCACACCTTACATCCGTACATAGTGCATCCCCACTAAAGTCCGCATTACTCAATTTTTGTATAAAATCAAAATTAATAATAATAATAAAAAAATAATAAATATTACCAACACACACCAATTAGCCTAGCCCCAAACTAAGCACTAAAAGGCTTGTGTTATGGGATACTAGTAGGGTTACGGATAGAATACATAGACTGTATATATATAAGTATATTTATATAGAAATACTTGTTAAACATCCATGACTTGAGTACAAATGTTCGTATTCATCACACAAACATCTGCCCCCACCGGGATTCAAACCCGGGACCTCTTGAGTCGGCGACACCATGAAACCCGGCGTTCAAACCACTCGGCCACGGCGGTCGTCAAATTACTAAAGTTGACGGAGTGTAGAAGGGGTAAGCTGCGTTTTAATTGCACACATCAGTGTGATGTCGCGGTCGGATGTCAATAAGGTTGTATTGCAACGTTTGGGCACATGAGTAAAGAAGGCATTTAGAAAGCTTTCTACAATGAGGGCTATCGCGTATGAATCCGCCGCTAGAGGCGCTAGTGTAGCGTGAGGTCTCCGAAATGTCAAATGTTATTGCTTGTTGGTTGACTACGCGGGTTTATTTCTAATTAAAATAATGTTGTGAATAATTGGTAACAATTCGGCTTAATTATGGCAAATATGAGTTATGTGGCAATGAATGTCAGTTATTAAAAATTTGAGCTTAGAAAAATGATTATGTTCCCATTTTTTCCGAATAAAACGGAACTGCGCGTCGCTGTGGCATGGCCTATTATGTTTAGGATATGGTTCTTTTGTGTTAAAATACGATCTAAATGTAAGCTTTGATTTCATGAACGTATTAATAAACTTTAAAAGTTACAATTTAGGACCTCACTCAACAGTGGCGCCATCTGGTGAGGCAGAAAACGGTAGCCCTCATTGCGCGGGTGTGAGGAACACTGTCGCGTACGCAGAGAATAATATCTATTGCCGACGACAGATCGGGAGTGCTCACTCACACAAGTGCACTGCATAAAGCTATACCTCAGTGCTTACTGAGCTAGTGGGGCTTAGCGGCAAATCACAAGATTATGAAGAGGCGTGAAGAAGCAACATGCAGGCCGGCAAGGTGAGGATGGCTGGTGTGGCAGGTAGAACTGATGTATCAGCTATCTTCACGTCTGGACTTCACCATCACTTAACATCAGGTGGGGTGGAGTAATTTGTCGGACCTATCTATAAAAAATAAATAAAAAAATATGCAATATTATTACACAAGCTCTGCCTAGCCAGTGGGGATGTCTGTGCTCTTCTACTCCTTACCTTTGGTTAATTCTGCTGTATACGTCAATGTTACCATAAAGCATACAATAGGGATGATGACTAATTTTTTTTTCTACGTTTATCAGGTAGATTATCAAAAAGTATTGGACTCATATTTTTTTCTTTTTTCACATAATATAAACATTGCAGAGATATATTGATTTAAAAAGTCGCATGACGTCACGTTTGAGTACACTTATAGGTGAAAATTCACCCAAAAGTGACGTCACGAGCCCCTACTCCCAAACTTTGTCGCGCTATAACTTTGTCATTTTTTGGTTGATTGCCCAAAGAAAAAATACATGTCGATTATTTTTTGATCATCTAACTGACGGACTAAATAGAATTTCGTTTACTGTACCCCGTCATCACCCCTATTCAACTCATATGTATAGTGTAGGTACTCACTTTGGCGCCATATCATTATATCTGCGCGCGTGGTGTGCGTCGAGAGGCGGCGCCAGCGCGGGCCCCGGCCCCGGCCCGGCCCCGCCCGCCGCGCCCCCGCCCCCGGCCCCGGGCCCGGCCCCGCCCCGCCCCTCGCCCGCCTCCCCGGCCCCGGCCCGTCTACCGCGCCCCGCGCGCTTCTCTGCCTTGTAGGCGCTGCAACATCATAGCGATCAAAGACACGACCAAACTTAACACGGACCTTACTTTTGAAGCGGGTTGCATACCGTATATCGTGAAAATTCGTCAGTTTTACTCAACAGCTAAAAAATGTACCAGGCGGTAGATAAAACTTACTTTCATTATAGCTATTAACGGGATTGTTACCATGTACTTTGTTTTTTATGAGTCTCCGATATTTCGGCACTGTTGCAAGCGCCATGATCACGGAGTAACTGAAGTAATTGCGGGCAGATGTTATTGGCAGACATATCGGTCTACCCTCTGACGTCGTCTTTTACTGCGCTCGATACCCTGCCAATCTGCCAATAACATCTACCCGCAATTACTTCAGTTACTCCGTGATCATGGCGCTTGCAACAGTGCCGAAATATCGGAGACTCATAAAAAACAAGGTACATGGTAACAATCCCGTTAATAGCTGTAATGTTAGTGACCATGAAAGTTTAAAACAATATAAAACTTGCTTTCAATTTTAATATAAAAAATTGACATTGAGCTTCGCAACATGAGCATGAACTGCCCTGGAATCACTCACCAGGATTCGAACCTACGATCTTTTGAATAAATGGCAAAATAACAGTTGTGTCAACCGATCATCAAAAACTATAATTTACACAAAAGTCGGCAAGGTAAGCTAAAATTGATGTGCAACCCGCTCAAGCTTTCAATGCGATATAAATTATGTGAGCCAGACTTGAATCGTAGCCTGGCTTACGATCGCTCTTGTAAGCTGATGTTAGTAAGGATCTGGTTAATCTCAACGACCTATCCACAGTCAAAGATTACGATTGGTGTTTCTGACAAGAAAGGGACTGACACAAATATTAAATCGCGTATCAAGAAAGCGTGTTACATTTGGGACAGATTATAATTATTATCACCTCTTATTATTAATAAATATTAAATAAATCTTTATATATTTTTTTTTATTAATAAATCTTATAATTTTTATTTTTTAAGAATGTAACTGCTTGATGTTTATATCTAAAGAAAATGTAACTAGAAAAAAATCCACGCGAACTAGGCAGCAGACGGGACTCGAACCCGCACCCTTCGCAATCCGGGCGAATGCACTGACCAAATATGCTACCGCGGCCATGACAGCCGCGTCGAAATTCTGCTAGCCATTCTTAAGCTGCAAGGCAGCGCCATTTCTTCGCATTGTAGGTAACCCACAATGTCAAATGAATACTTTTACAAGTATTAAACATTTCAAAAGAAGAAATAGCAATTAAAGTTATAATTTTTATTTTTGAAGCATGTAACTGCTTGATGTTTAAATCTAAAGAAAATGTAACTAGAAAAAATTAATCTTGTTGAAATTGATAAAATAAACATAACATATTTCGTTTGAGGACCGGGTATTATTTTATTTAATTTTGACAAGTATCGTAAAAAACTTACATAAACAGGAAGTGATTAAAACACCCTTATTGACAATTAAATGACTGCGAATACGTTATTGGTTATACGAAATATACTCTGTGCATTGGAAATAAAAAGAGTACAGAATCATATTTCGTATGAAATATAATTATTTTATAAATAAAAGCATTTACCATACAAAAAAGCGAATAAGTGAAAGCCCCACACACAGAAAATCCTAGAAAACGTAAAGCGCCCGAATATCACACCGTTACAACAACCATGCATTCGATCAGTTCCCATCGTAAAACCAATATATTCCTAAATATCTGTATATAATTAAAGTAATATCTACTTAATGCTATAAAACAACTAAAATAACATAGCCAAGGAACACAAGGTATTAAGAAAAACTCATGACACGTTCACATGGACTTCCATCGGGACTTTGGTTAGCCTATGCTTTACTGTAACTTTGTTTACTTGGCTATTCGTATATGCTATTTGTAAACTTGACAACAGTCTGTCCTTTTCACACCTTATAAAGCATGATAAGGACAGACAGTTGTCAATTGTACAAATGGCAAACACGAATATCCAAGTGAAATGCCGGCATCTACTTTTATCAAACATAACCTTATTACTACCGTTGCAAGATGATAAAGGGATATCGATATATAGCAAATCTTTTTTTCATAACTGTTACGTAAAAAGCTAATTGTTTCAGTACAAAAATAATTCGCACTGTTTAGACTTTAGCCGTAGTGAAGAATGCATGTGAAATACCTTAATACTTAAGAAATCATTGGCACGGTAATATTATCTATACAGTATTGTGACTCGGCCCTGTCCTTGAAATAGGAGCCTACGGCCGAACGGGGCGTATCCATGCGGTAGGGAGGCCCGCCTACAGTATTTTAATTTCATCTACATAATTGAGTTTCTTTCTAGTTTTGTGACTGTAAATATTTTATTTCATATGTAAAAAAAATGTTGTGAATGAATTAGGAAGTGTTACATAAAATACAGGTTATTTTAAGTGTAATATTGATTAAAAAAAATATTGATTTGAGACAGAAAAATATTTACGCCTTGACTGAGACGTACGAAAAGCTTTATTATTAAATTAAATAGTATAATAAATACGCATTCGTATAAAAAGTTTAATTATTGAAGAGTTCAAGCAACCAAAAACAGCACAATATCGACTATTGCTCTTTGCCATATTAAATTATCTATTAATTCAATCAAATATTCACAATACCGCACGTTTAAGCACGGCTAACTGCTTAAAAAACAATTCACACCATTCGGTCGTCGCTGCGGCGCGTTCGCGACTGGATGCCCACCGGGTGCCGCGCGAACTCGAGTGGCGTAGGTATGACACGCTTTCCGACCGTTTGTATGAAGATACAATACTGTATCTCTTATCTATTAGACAAGTCTGTCCGTCCGTCTGTCTGTGGTGCTGTTTCAGCGGCCAAACCGTAAGAGATAGATAAAGAGAATATTTAAGTTATAAGTTAAGAATAGTCTGATAAGACTACAAACCGGATTTGAGTAACGTAGCACTTCCGGTTTTCGAGAAATCACGAATTTCAAACGAAACCACACAAAATCTCCGAAGTTCTCAATTAATTAAATACATTAAATAAAACTAGTTTTTACGGGTTAATGCACGAAACTTTATTTACTTATTAAAAAAAAAGTCCTTCGAAGGTAGCTCGACAAATTAAATAAAAGTTTTATTCTGACGACGAAGCCTTTAAAGGCTACGAAACGTCAATAAATAAATAAAGTTTCGTGCATTAACCCGTAAAAACTAGTTTTATTTAATGAGTGATGTGCGTGAAAACCTAAGAAACAAATATAATTAAATACACTTTTTTTTTTTAATCAGGTTTTGGTGTGTATAGATAATATTACCGTGTCATTGGTTTCATCTGCAGTCGTTGGCTCATACCATGCGTACACGCACACGCGGCGCACGCACCCACTACGCGCGCGATCCGACTCACATGCTCCCTCAATGTGACAATATCGACTTGTTCGCTGGTGGTTTAACAAAGCTAATGGCGGCCGCACTTGAGTTTTTCGAGAAAAAAGCTCATTAATTAATTGATTATTTTTGAATTTGACAATTTATTTATTAATAATTAAAATGGTATGACATTATTTATTAATTAGTATAATTGACATTACATTTTTTTCTTTTTAACTGTTTTTCTTAATTTTATTGAATTGGAATGAATAGGTATTCATAGCAGGTGCTATGAATGTTAATGTTTTTATGTATGACTTGCCGGCTTACAGAAAAATCCAAAACGCCGGCATTTGTAACTAGAATCAACAAATAAACAATACCAATCCGTATTGGGTCCGTTCTGCCTATTTCATTATTTAGAAAAGCCTGTGCCAAAGCAGTAGAGAAATTAATATGCTGATGATGATGGCTGCATGATTATAAATATCAGCAGTTTGATCCGAGTTGTTGAACAAAAAAATAAATAAATTACGTTCCATAAATATGAGCATTGAAAGTTACTCAGACAGTCCATGTGAACGTGGCCAATATGCCTAGGGTTACGCATCACAAGCAAACCAGGGTCAAACTATGATGTCGGTTTACCACACAGCGGCTGCCCTCCGAGCCCGAGTAACCGCCGCACTGACTACAGTTCCTATACCCACAACTATCACGTAACTAATACATACATGAAGGCGCACTTCAAAAATCTTCAAATAATTTGTTTAATACATTGCAATTCGATCAATCAAATAGCGGAATAATACAAAATTTAATCAACGAGACCAGCCGATAAAAAACATATAGTTAATACACTTTTCTGCTTTTAACAACTTTTTGTGTAAATATTAGAGGTGGGCGGGCGTTTTTAGAATAACGATGCGCGATAACGATGCCAGGTTTGGATGCGCGCATCCGATGCGACTAGTTGCCGTTATTGGATGCCGATGCCATCTAGTTTTTGTCAACGTTACTATAGCAACAGTGCCACAAACTTAACTATGCCGGTGGTGATGTCGCTAGCGGTGAACAAATATGTCAAAATGCTATGGATAAATTGTAGTTCAAATTTCTGCCACCGGCACTGAAAAGTTTGTGATACTACGATACTGACATTCACTTGACATCGATGCGATGCCGGCATCGGTGCGCGCATCCGATACGATTTATCTGATACCGATGCGCATCGATATCACAAATATCTAAAAACGCCCATCTCTAGTAAATATATGACTGGTTACATAGAGGTATCATAAATTTTCTTCGTGCAAAATTCATAAAGTTGATTAACCTTAGCAAACAAATGACTTTTTTACACATTAACATAACAAGTTACAGTCAACGTTTGACTGTTGAAATGTTTTAACGATACTGTTTTGTGGTTAGTATTTAAAGTAACCTTCATATATTTATACACTTACCGCGCACACCGTCCATTTACTAATGAATTTTACACGATTATTTACTAATTAAGGTGATATACATCGCTTATGAGCTAAGAAAGGGTGGAAAAGTACATTATAACATTTATAGATTTACAAGTTTAGAAAGATACTCGAAAAATGCAAAAGTTGTATACATTCAACACTACAGATATAACACTAATAATATACATATAAAAGGGTTCCGTCCATTGACCTAATACATTACAGTAGATATTGACAAATGTCAGTTGTATAATGGCGTGTTATGACTATTTTGGCAACACAAAGTCGCCAATTTCTACATCAATTCGCTTCAGTGCTCTCGTAAAGCCAGAAACATATTAACGTGTCGTGGCGCATCGGTTTCATACATTTATTATGGGTTAGAGAGAGATAGAGAGGTTAAAGCGTCGACACGACACGATACGTAAATATGTCTCTAACCATAGTAAATGTATGAAACCGATGTGCTTCTGGCGCGCCACGACACGACACGACACGTTAATATGTTTCTGGCTTAAGTTTGTTGTGTCATGGATTATTACATTATAATATACTCGTAGAATAATTATGTTAAATATGATTACAAAAAACTTGATCGTAAAAATCCCTTACAATACTTGATATGATCCCTCCGACTACATTTAGTTGGACTAAATGTAGCAGGGGCGGCGCCACTAGTCCTAGCGGTCCTATTCATTACCTTATTGTTTTAAACAATTTCAGCACTATTTTAGCGTCTTTGTTACAATCCTGGCCACTCGTTTTCTCGGCTCAGTACCATCCTACCTAATGGAATACTCGATACACGATAATTTAAAGTACTGTAAACATTCATTCGATAAACCTATCTAAATATTCGTTTGTGATGCAAAAGCACAAAATCGTTCACGTTAAGGTCGGCGCTCACTAGCAGTTCCTTTTGTACTCGAAATCTTTTAATTTATTTTTAACAGACTTCAAAAAAGGGATGTTCTTAGTTGATTTTGATTCCAATTTATATTATAGGTAGCTATGACCACTCAAATCAAATTATACGTTAATACCTTTCATTTTAATAGAGTTTAGTTCTGCAGGTGAGCGCTGACCCTCATCAGTCGCGTTCTCAACAACAGTAAACGCTCAAAAATCACCTACAGTACGCATATATCAAAATATGTGAAAAACGGCTCCAAAACGCTAAGATTGTATAAACATCGCTACAGTATGGATAATTATACATAAGTATAATGTAGTATAATATAATATCGAGATCGTCATTGTACGAGCGTTGCGTATCAGTATACAAGTTACAATAGGCATGATGACGGGGTACAGTAAACGAAATTCTATTTAGTCTGTCAGTTAGATGATCGAAAAATAATGGACACGTATTTTTTCTTTGGGCAATCAACCAAAAAAATGACAATGTTATAGCGCGTCAAAGTTTGGGAATAGGGGCTCGTGACGTCACTTTTGAGTGAATTTTCACTTATAAGTGTACTCAAACGTGACGTCATGCGACTTTTCAAATCAATATATCTCTGCAATTTTTATATTGTGTGAAAAAAGAAAAAATACGTGTCCAATACTTTTTAATAATCTACCTGATAAACGAAGAAAAAAAAATTAGTCATCATCCATATTGTCCGTCAGCATTGGTCACTGAGTTTATGTGTGACAACCATTATATCTTAGAGTCGTCATTTTCACACTAATGCAACATATAGTTAATCAACAAAAGTTGAAGGCAATGAACTCTAGGTTTTTTTCCTAAAAAAGTAATGTTTGTGTAAGTTATTCGCTGCATGTTCATCATGAAATGGTGTTAATAAACGAAAATGTTGAAGGAGTATTAAACATTTATTATGGACCAATGCTCCCGGCTGCAAGCAAGGCGAGGTATAGACGGCTGGACGTATTAGTTTCATATGTAATGCCGACACTTGGCCATTCGTTTATGCTATTTGTAAACTTGACAATAGTCAGTCCTTACCATGCTTTATAAGAAATGAAAAGGACAGAATGATGTAAAGTTCGACTGACGTTGACGACCTCCGTGGCCGAGTGGTTGTACGCCGGGTTTCATGGTGTCGCCGACTCGAGAGGTCCCGGGTTCGAATCCCGGTGTGTACAGATGTTTGTGTGATGAACACGAGCATTTGTACTCCAGTCATGGATGCTTAATATGTATTTCTATATAAACATACTTATATATGTACTGTATATGTATTCTATCCGTTACCCTAGCATCCCATAACACAAGCCTTACAGTGCTTAATTTGGGCTAGGCTAATTGGTGTGAATGTTGGAAATATTCATTATTATTAAGTATACAAATAGCAAACACAAATAGCCAAGTGAAATGTCGGCATGAAGCGTAAAGCGTGTACTGTATAATAATGTATGACGTGTCAGCTATGTGACGAGCTCATTATATTAAAGACTGTGAGTACATGAGCACGCTGTAATTATACTGTTAAGTATTGCTACTATATTAAAACGAGTATTAAAAATACTGTCAAAATAACTTATTGTAAACTCATTCCTTATGGGTAGGTTTGCACGAGCGCTTTTCTTGTGTGGATTAAGTCTTCACTTCACTAAGCTACCGACTTTTATTTACAACTTACGTTCAAAACTCAACGTCGAAAATGCGATCGAGAAAACGCGATCGAATTTAGGAAAATATGATAATGTAAACGTTACAAATTACGCCGAGTTAAAGCACTCGTGTCAACTATTCCTAATTTATGTTTTCAAAAACTTGTCAAGTCAACAACGTCCATTACATTTATGAAATCGTATTCAAATATTCCACATACAATAACACTTAAACATATCATTTTAATCAAGAACTTTTGCAAATGTTATTCATAGATGGATAATGAGCATTCGTTCGCCATAGACGTGCATTAAAAACACGAGCGAAGCTCACGTAAAATCGTAATATTAAACCTGTGCAAGTGCAACAAAAACAAAAAAATGAGAGATTTCGACCTCAGCTCATACACAAAAAAGGCTGCGGTCTCACAACGTATTCACGTTACAATAAAGAGTTTAACCCAACAAAATGTAAGGTTTCGATCGCTCGGTGCGGTCGGTTACTCGGACTCGTGTATCCCGGACTCGTTGTCTTCGTCCTTGGCGTCGAGCCTGGTCTTGAGGTCGTCGATGAGCGCGGACGGCACCAGCTGGCACACCACCTCGCTGCCGTCGAGCAGGGCGCGCGACGCCACGGTGGGGCCTCCCGTCCCCGCCCCCGGGAGCCCCGGGCCCCCGCCCCCGCCCCCGCCCCCGCCTGCTCCCTGGGGCCCCGGCGGGGACGCGAGGGGCGCGGACGGGGCGCTGCGCCCGCGCCACTCCGCGATCTTGCCTTCGATGTCTAGCGTGCTGCGCTTCGACCCGCTACCGCCACACTTATTAGTCACTATCGCGCGCTATATACCCAACCCATAAACTCCTAATCTCCCACCCTATTGTTCCGCTAAACCCACTATTCATTCCAACCCCTGTGGCATATCTTATCACCCAGTCCAGTTTTTACAAGGATTCAAAAGCAAGGTGCGAGGCGGTCTTTGAAGTCAGATTTCAGTGCAAAATTTCAGATTTGTTTTAGTCCAATTATCTTGGATGCAATAAGTGTTTGTTTCGCAACTTGACCGACCTTGCTTTTGCATTTTGAAATAAACCCTTATTATGTTTAAGATAAGACTAATTCTGACACGAAAACTATATGACCTAAAATCTATAGTTTAAAAATCCCATTCAACTTGATCACATCAGAATCAGCCTCACCGGTGTATTTATAGCTTTTAATTCTTTCTTACGAAGAAATGGTAGCGTCACAGTTATCTGGTATAAGACCTAACCAATGGTGACCCTAATTTGTCAAATAAACTGAATGAACCAAAACAAACGAAATGAAAGTAAGTAACATATTGTATTAGAGGTCCGGCATGCGGGAGGGTTAATTCAGTACACATGCAACCATAGTCTGTTTCCGTTGTACCATTTCCATCAAGTCATGCTTCTGAATTATCTATACACAGGGCCTGATTTAGCCACAGGCTAATAAGGCTTTTAAGCCTGGGCGCCAAGACCAAAAAATACTATTATACTAGCGCCCGCCCGCGACTTCGTACACGTTAACTTAATTTTTTGAGAATCCCTCAGGAACCTAAAATTTTTTTGGAAAAAAAATTGCCTTTGTCTCAATCCAGGTAATAAAATATATTTATTTATGTGTTATTATTTTTAAAGTATGTAACTGCTTGATGTTTAAATCTAAAGAAAATATAACTAGAAAAATTCCACGCGGATCAGGGAGCAGACGGGACTCGAACCCGCACCTTTCGCAATCCGGGCGAATGCACTGACCAATTATACTACCGCGGCCCTCACGAACCACGTCGAAATTCTTCTAGCCATTCTTAAGCTGCAAGGCAAAATTCTTCTAGCCATTCTTAAGCGGCTTCTAGTTATATTTTTTTATGTGTGCCAAAGTTTATGCAAGTTTGTTCAGCCCATTTCCGATGTAATCAAGCGCGGCCGAAAAATACTCCCCAGTAAATTTTACTATCCCTTTTCACCCCGTTAGGGGTAGAGTTTCAAAGAACCATGATACATGTTATTCTTAATTTCAGGTCTCTAGTATAAGTTATCGAAATGCGCGTTAAAATTCATTTATAGAAAAACTGAGTACCCAAGTTCCCAAGTCCAATCCCCCCTTTAGGGCTAGATTAGGCAAACCAAAAATGGAAAACTTTATAATTAATAACTCAAAGAATAAGATTTATCATACAAACTTTCATCACCTTTTTTAACCCTCTTATGGGTGGATTTTCGAAAAACACTGATACGGGTTATTCTTTATTTCTTTACAAAACCAAAAAGTCGCTTATTTTGCTTTTCGCAGAAATTTTAAGGTTATGTCAAAACAATGTAAATAGAAAAGACATCATTTTTATTCTTAAGCATGTAGTAACTGCTCGATGTTTAAATCTTAGAAAAGTTGTAAGTACCTAGATAATTTGTGTACCTATAATGTTGCCATTGATTTTTTTTTGCGATAGATGTTATAGATTTCCCGAGAATCGCGATTAAACAGTTTCCCCCCTTAAAAGGTAAATCCACACACCCTTCTCGATCTCAAAACGCGTTTGAAATTTATTTCACATCTTAAGGACACCCGGCATTTTGTGCCAAAGTTGTATACTTTTTTATTTTTTTTATCTGTGTTTCATAATTGGGTAAAGTAGTCTGGCAATATTTGTCATCAGCAGCTAGCTGTCAATGTCAAATACGTAGGTTTGTCAATATAACGTCTTTAAGTAGCCGGGTCGTCAAGAGAAATAACGGATAAAAAGGCAATCACAGCAGAGAACATTCACAATCACAGTACGCGGGAGCGGATGCGAAATGCGAATGATTTTTTTGTTTGTATTTTAGGATTGTCAAATTGACATTTGGTTTTTTATTTAGAAAAAGCAAAGGAATCATTTTTACAGTCACTTGAGTAATATTTTGAAGTAAAATTCTGTCCCTTGAAGATTTAGGGTTTCTATATCACAAAATATTAATCATTATATAACTTCTTTCCACGATTCACTAAAAATAAGCCAAAAGTAGTTTTATGTAGCAAATAATTTTGCCTTTATTTTGAGACCAAATTCAACTGTATACAAGTTTAGCATTTATTCTATGAAAAGTGCCGGGTCTCCTTTTAATGTGTTTTCTTCCTTTTGGTTATGGGTTTAGTCTTGTTCCGAAGAGTCCGAAAAAATATTTTACTTTAGTTAAGCTCTCTGTTAAAAGTTATTATAATTTCATTAGTTGCACCTGTAAGTGAATGAAAAGGTAGGACAGGCAGGGGGGACGTATATTCATAGTTAGCCTCGGGTGGTCAGAACTCTAAATCAGGCCCTGTCTATACAAAGTGAGTATCAATTAATTATGTATTACATTTCATTTTCCATTTCTATCATGGAGCTCCATCAATACCTTAACCACATGAAATAATTAAATAAAAAGACCGTTCATACATGATTGATCGCTAATTTTCTAGAGCTTGTTATACACAAGGTGCAAAACGACATCCACTCACTAACATTGGCAGAAAATAATATTTGTTTTCACAATTTCCAAAATACAACGGTTTAAAGAAACAATCGTGTCGATTTTAGCATAATTCTCTAAACCTAAACTTAAATTTGACATGAATGTATCCTTGTCATGTTAAATTTAGTTATAACTTATGAGTTTCATGCCCGAATCGACACTAATTTATATTCTTATATTTGAACAAAAATTATTATTTAATATTCAACTTACTTTTAGCTAAATCGTGAACTTAATACCAACAAAAATGATAGCAAGGGAATATCAACTCAATGTCATTTTCAACAAAGTTGCAAAGCGCATGCACGGTAGCGGAGCATCAGGTGTAGTCTACACAGAAATAACATCCGATAGAGACGAGAATGGGATGCAAGTTACTTTCAAATATATTTTTTATTTCTTGAAAAGCGCGATCGTAGTTTGTTCTAAAATTGTCGCCCGCGCCTCGTCGCTAGCAGATAACTTCTCTGAGTGAACTAAGCCTTAAGCCAAGGTGTCTAGTTGGGGCACTTACTTGGCAAGTGGTACGTTATCGCGGTCCGCGTACGCGTCATACAAATACTCGCTGCAACAGAACACAGAGGGTCACTCACCCACCGCACTAACGCTCGCGACACTCAACACTCATTCCAGAAATCGAATCCAAACTTCCCACTCTGAACGATCGTATTGAATATTTCGGTGATTTCGAATCACTTTACAAGAGGGGTGATGACGGGGTACAGTAAACGAAATTCTATTTAGTCCGACAGTTAGATGATCAAAAAATAATGGACACGTATTTTTTCTTTGGGCAATCAACCAAAAAATGACAAAGTTATAGCGCGTCAAAGTTTGGGAGTAGGGGCTCGTGACGTCACTTTTGAGTGAAAATTGTACTTGTTTAATTGTAAAACGTGACGTCATGCGACTTTTCAAATCAATATATCTCTGCAATGTTTATATTATGTGAAAAAAGAAAAAATACGTGTCCAATACTTTTTGATAATCTACCTGATAAACGAAGAAAAAAAAATAGTCATCATCCCTTAGTATTTACTGTCCACCGGGTGTGAACCCTTCCTAATGAAGAAACTTTACCTAAAAGAAAACTAGTGTTTGTAAAGTTTTCGCGCGTTTCAAAATCAACCAAAACTAAGGACGCGCAGAGTGGACTTTCAGAAATCTTTACAGTCTTATTACTTGTTTTAAAATTTTAGCTTTTGTAAAATATATTTCACATAATACGCATGCAAACAAACTACCGAAGCAATTACAGATCGATTACCGGAATGAGAACCTCTCATCAATAAACGCTGAGAGTTAAGCCAGAAACATATTAACGTGTCGTGGCGTGACGTGGCGCATCGGTTTCATACATTTATTATGGGTTAGAGAGAGATAGAGAGGTTAAAGCGTCGACACGACACGATACGTAAATATGTCTCTAACCATAGTAAATATATGAAACCGATGTGCTTCTGGCGCGCCACGACACGACACGACACGTTAATATGTTTCTGGCTTTAGCGTGTCACAATACGTTCACCACACAAACAATGAACTAGGGACTTTATGGAGGAAAGCTCAACCACTTGAAATCTAGTCGCAAATATTATCAATGAAATAAAGGACATTGTGAGCTTTATCGAACCGACAAAAGGGAAAGACATTTATTATAGCTCCTTTAAACGTAGACAAACTAGACGTTCCTATATCATTTCAGTTGCTAAACAAGCGTATACCTTAGTGCTACACAATAATTAACGTTACAATTTGACTGTGCTAAATAATTACTAAATGTTTGATGAAAATTGAATGATCAAATAAAATAAACAAATAAATAACTAATCGAAAACCACTTAACAATAAAATAACAACCTTATTTACATGTCACTAAATACGCTAATTGTGTGATATTTAATTTTTTCATTATATACAATTTTTACGCAAACAGAAACAAAAACTGTACGACCTACATTCTCTAAGGACGACAATCGCTAAATTTTGTGTTACATGGTCAACGGTTACAAGGGGAGTAATATACGAAAAGGTTCACGGTACGCAAGCAATGTCTGCGCGAGCGCATGCCTACAACTACCTAATGACAGGACATTGAGTAACCAACAACAATAAGCGATGCCGCCGCCGTCCTCCGTACAATAAACAGAGCAAGTACATTCTTATATTCAAAGCTTTAACATCGAATGGCACGCCGAGCGAAAATGGTTCTTATACAGTATGCGGGTAGGTTGTAAATAAGTTGGTTGGAGAGCGACAGTGCGACAGTAGAACGTGCAAGCGATATGAGATCAGAGAGCGACACCACGATGTTATAGATTAGATGCCAGCTGACTTTTACCGACGTGCGTATGGTATAAACGTTTTTAAACCTTTGTAACACGGTCCATTTTTTATCATTTTAAAAAATCACCTGATCATTATCACGTTTACAAAAACCGGCTTCATAAAAACAGAACCATTTAAAAAATTAGAAATAATGCATGTTCTGCATTAATATCTACATTTAAAATCAAATTAACATTTGGAGTCGGTGCCATGCATCTTGATAGATCTGAGTTGCCATTTACTGCTTAGCATGACACTGACTCTAAATGTTAATTTGAATTTAAATGTAGATATAAGTAAGAAATATGCATTATTTCTTACTTTTTACTGGAAGTCTGTTTATATTTTTTTGTTAAAAAAGTTTTTATTTTTCATTCTTATGAGCCAGAGAAAGATCAGCTTACTAAATATAGATGTCCGATCTACGATCTCCCTTTGATATTTCTTAAAATCACCAAACACGATATGTCACTGTTCGTATTTGAGGACATCTGTTGTTTATCTCCGAAACTATTTATCAGATCTCTATCAAACTCATATGAGACCATCTCGTTAACAAATTCTTCCAAACAAAATGAGAATCATCAAAACCAGTCAACAAACATCGGAAATGTGCTCGAACAACAATAAAAAAAAAATATAATGACGAATCGAGAACCTCCTCCTTTTGGAAGTCGGTTAAGAACACAACAAGAAATTATTTCGAATTTGCACATTGAATCAAATAATATCGTTATAATTTTTATTATTTTAAAGCATGTAACTGCTTGATGTTTAAATCTAAAGAAAATATAACTAGAAAAAATTCCACGCGGACCAGGCAGCAGACGGTAAATAACATCGGTTTAAAAAAAACTAAACTCTTATGACTGCTTTAACCAACTGATTTTTTTAATTACAGAAAATAATCTGTGTAGGATACAATAAGTTGCAAAGGGGAGACACGTCGGTAACAGTCACTGCATTAATAGCGAGGGTTGGGGGGGGGGGGGGTATGGTGGGGTTATAGTGGGGTCACGGTGGGGTGTGATTGGTTACCGGAGGAGGCGTGCGGTCACCGCCACCAGCCGCGCGCGCGCCCCGCCGGCTCATACTCGCTGTCGACAACACACGCGAATTGTTCTAATTCCATCACTCTTTACACTGGCCTTGGATCACATGTGACCTTAGATTAAAACAAAAAGGGTAGATACGGCACTAGCCTCACAAAAGTGATCCGCACAAATTGTGGTCCGGTCCACGACCCTAATCGCTTTAGTCACAACTTGACATGCAAACGGCGTACATGTGAACGCCAAAAAGAAATATTGATAATATTTTGTGTTTATATGATAAAACAATGCCTAAGTGTGTTTTTAAAAAGTGCTCAAATTGCTCGAGAACTAAAAATAAAACCCACGGCATCACTTTTCATTCGTAAGTACTATAAAATATATTTTTTCATAAAAATTACTGTTTGTTTTGAATCTTATTCGGTAGTGACGTCGCGTGATTGGTCGGTAGTGCAGTGACGCGGATCTCGCCGTCTCTTTCGCGCTGCCGTTGAATCTTAACGTGCTGTTTCGCTCGGGTCGGTAATGCAGTGACGCGGATTCGCCGTCCCGTTCGCGCTGCCGTGGGATCAGTTTTTGTTTGATACAAGTATGAGCGTACCGTATCTACCCTTTTTGTTTTAATCTAAGCATGTGACTTCATTTACAGCGCAAACGAGCTTTACGCGGACATATTTGACCCATTTGTGGATCTTTAAGTGCCCGCTACGCCGCGCACCCGCGATCCGACACCATGTTTTCGCTGGATTAACACCGCCCATTCGGACACATACAAAGTGTCATAGTAACATACTCTCAATTTTATATCAAAGTTTCTTTTTTTATTCCTTATTCGATTGAGTTAGACGTAATAATAGTTAAAGATATTTGTAATATTAAAAACTTGTTTTTTTTATTTGTAATATTAAAAACTTGTTTTTTTTATTTGTAATATTAAAAACTTGTTTTTTTTATTTGTAATATTAAAAACTTGTTTTTTTTATTGTACTAAAAATATCCCGATTTTTTTGTAAATGAAAAAAGGTGAAAATGAAAACTTTTTGACTCGGTTCATGTTAAAGTAGACAAAATTTTAAAATAATCTGTATCATTACAGTTTTTAAATTAATAAAAATTAGGTCTGGTGCCGGATTGCAGCTGCGTCATATATTAACCAACGCTCAAACCGCTTAATATTTAAAATCTATAACGAAACCGACTTTGTATAACCAATTTGACTTGCTCTATGCGATAAATTTTATAGTTATCGTAGACGCTAGGGACGCCCTACGGCCTAAGGAGATGGTGGTGGATGATCAAACAACACAAAATAACAACAATAAACCATAAACAAATATCACACTGTCCCCTACACTCACTACCGCAATATAATCAAATATTACAGGTTTTTACCACAACTTTTAGCGATTGTTAAAGGTAACATAAGAATAATGAGAGAACGCGTGTTTTGCTGTGTGGCGACTTTTTTAGGTCAAACTTATAAGTTTAGTTTAACAAAAATAAATATTGGAAAATCTTCTACGCTTCAAAGCGTCATGATCAAGTCTGCACATATAAATTTTATCATAAATATACACTCGACCGCAAATAACCCACTAGTACTTGAACTCTGATTCAATTTTCTCAAATTACAACTATCAAAGCTATATCTGCAGAAAGAACATTTCATAATGATTAAAATGAGTAAAAAATATTCTAAAATACTGTCAACACGATGCTAACGATTTGTAAATTTTCAACTAAAGTCGCAAATATCCTTCTTTTTTATAAAATTAAGATAGTCTACTACATCTTATCATTTATTTAAAAACTGAATAATCCATCTGTGCATCTTTTTGTCAGACAAGTGTATTATGCTACGTTTTTTACTGCCGAATCAACACAACTGGATAAGGACCCTTCTTTGGAAAACCTTAATAAATTGATTAATCTCAATGAATTCCGGTTTATTTTAACCTTTTGTAGGTATAACTTTATTAGTTGTAAATTTTATAGTTTTCGTAAAAATTAAATCAGAGTTCCAAGAGAGCAAGTGGCTCAGTTTATCTGTTCTGTTCACTGTATTTTCATCATCACTGTTTATAGTCCTGGCTTTCAATTGTATTCACAAACCCAATCTGACAAGATCCTATTAAGATTAAGATAGTTCATTTAGGGAGCGAATTTAACCATGACTCTAAAAAATATACCCAAATCAAAGTCGGAATTCGTAAAAACATCAATATTCCATTCGAATTCCCGTCTAACTGACTAAGCATGAAAGTAGAAGGTTATATATTAATTTGCTACAGCCCGCGTCTTTGCGTTTCTTTAATTAAAACCACGCGTTCATGTAAAGCTGCCACAGTAGATAATACAACTACTAGTCCATGTACGAAAATAAATCATGGCGGCAGATCTTCAACCGTTTGATCACAGTTCGAAGAACCAAGAAACAAGCAGCTCGCATGATTGTGACGAGAGAGGAGAAACTTAATGCGATTTTTTTATCTTGTTAAGTCAAAACATGGTTTATTTTAAAATAAGTAAGTCTGCTCAAAGAGAAAATTTCTAAGAATTAAAACTGTTTTTTTTTTTGCAATTCCTTTTATAACGTCCACAGGTTAAGCAATGTCCTATCTAACTAAACCACTTCTTCAAATTATCTGCTCCAGAAATAGGTGCCACCATGTCAACAGTTCTTTGTAAAGTCCCCCTCTCTCACCTCAATCGTCAGGTGTGATGTGTGGATGCGTCGTTCACAGTACAAAGGGCTTACTCACTACAGCGGGAGATGGGGTGCAACACAAACCCGTACATCGACAAACTCAACGAACAAAACGTTAACACACCTCAAACTGAACGGAACAGACAAATTAGTTCAACGAAAAAACAAACATAATTTTAATTTAAAACAAATTGAAAAAAAAAGTTACAATTCTCTGCAGTGAAAATTTCTTTTAATTATTGCGTCATTTTAAAGTAGTCAAAGAGATGATATTGACTATGCAAGACAGCCAAAGGTTTAACTGGCAACACTTGAATTGATTTTACATTACTTTATATAAATGTCTGCAAAGAATTGAATGACAATGATGAATGAATGACAACCTAACGGATAGATGCCCCTGCCATCACAAGTAACTTGTGATGGCAGCGGCGGGTCGCAGTAAACACTATTCGATCATACAAAGATTCTGTAACATACACACTCAATTTTGAGTTTCGATAGTTCGAAAGATTTGATACATACATCGATATGAGTCAAAACGTCCCAATTAAACTAATGAATGAAATTTCAATCGTCAAATGCAAATTTTCCGTTTTGGATAATCGAAAATCAACAGTGATTTTGTATGTTACTTGATCAAATTAAAGGTGCCATATAAAAATCATTGAAGCTGAATTCATGCGCGTGCGTCTTGTCCCAATGAATGCTCGACGTATGTGACAGTATCAGATTCAATCATTCTTGCATGACTCGATATCGAAAATAATGATGAGTAATTGTGCAGTTTCAAACATTTGCCCCAATGTTTTGTGGTAAGTCAGATTTTGTGACTATATAACTGATTTGAACACTCAACAACAGTTTTGAGTGCAGTTCAATGTTTTCGTCGCTTCTGATAAATTGTATCAGTTGTTTTTTTGCAAATATAATGCTTAAATTATGTGAAAATGTGTATTTATTAAAACACTAATATACTGTTATCTTAATTGGTACTTTGCTATGGATTCCTGACAAAGAGAACGCCTTTGTCTGACAATAAATCTGCAATCAAGGCGATGCTCTATCGTTCAATGTATTGTATGTATATTGTGCTTGATTCTGACACGATTCTCTCTAATTAAACATAAAACTTAATTCGGCAGTAGTATGCATGCTTAGTAGACTTAACACCCGTATCGTGTTGCTTAGAAAATTAAAAGAAAATATTGGTATCTAAGGAGACTTTCGATTTTTGCCCAATTTTGTACCTTGGTACAAAATACCACTAAAAACATCTAAAATTATAAAGAAAAGTTTACTAGAAAAAAAAATCCACGCGGACCAGGCAGCGGACGGAACTCGAACCCGCATCCTTCGCTATCCGGGCGAAGGATGCGGGTTCGAGTCCCGCCCGCTGCCTGGTCCGCGTGGATTTTTTTCTAGTAAACTTTTCTTTAGATTTAAACATCTAGCAGTTAAATGCTTAAAAAATAAATAAAATCATATCTAAAATTATACTTAAAAATACTCTCTCATCAACATCTCAATTAATTCAATAAAATAAGCTGGAAATCTGAAAAAGAATAGGAAATTTGCGTATAAAGAAACGTTATTACTAAGACGCAATTTGTCATTGATTGACAGATGACAGCTAATACTATTGTTTTTTTTCGTGATTGGTTGTATCTAAAATCTCGTTATTTCCGTAACTGATTATTTTCAATTTCAAGACGTACATTTACCATAAAATATAATCTGTGTTGCCATTAATTAATATGTTTAAACGACATTTTAATGTGGGACAAGTAATTAACAAACTCCATTTATATTTCTGATGAATTTGGCGTATTTTTCTACACATAAATGTAAAATTGGGCAAGTTGTGTTGAGAAACGAATGGATCCTTTAGATTGATCTTTAGAGAATCATGTCAGATTTAGGTCAATGTGTCTAGTGAAGTGTAGTTTGGCGTAGTGAAGCCCAGTTTGGTGTAGTGTATTGTAGGGTAGTGTATTGTGATGTAGCTTAATGAAATGCCGGCACTTCACAAGGCCATTCGTATTTGCTATTTGTAAACTTGACAACAATCTCTCCTTTTCGTTCCCTGTAGACTATGACAAGTACACACTGCTGACAAAATAACAAATAGCAAACACGAATAGCCATACGAAGTACAAGCATAATGTGTTAGTGTAGCATAGTGTAGTGTAGCATAGTGTAGTGTAGCACAGTGTAGTGTAGCATAGTGTACTGTAGCACAGTGTAGTGTAGCATAGTGTAGTGTAGTGTAGTGTAGTACGAGACGGATACTCACGCCTCGACCAGGGGTCCGGGGTAGGGGTCGACGTGTCTATAGAGTCTGGCCAATCTTCGCGCCACCACCATTAACGGCACAAACAACGCCAAGCACCAGCTTAGGGACATCCAGTACCCGTTCTATGACAAACAAGATCATAAGAAAACGATTCCGACGTTATTGGATTGGAAGTCGATTAAAAATACCTACACAGTTATGGTAATGCGTAATGTTATACGCAAGTGGAATAAACTATCTGTAATGTCACCAAGAGGGGTGATGACGGGGTACAGTAAACGAAATTCTATTTAGTCCGTCACTAGATAATCAAAAAATAATGGACACGTAGTTTTTCTTTGGGCAATCAACCAAAAAATTACAAAGTTATAGCGCGTCAGTTTGGGAGTAGGGGCTCGTGACATCACTTTTTAGTGAATTTTCACTTAAAAGTGTACTCAAACGTGACGTCATGCGACTTTTCAAATCAATATATCTCTGCAATGTTTATATTATGTGAAAAAAGAAAAAATACGTGTCCAAAACTTTTTGATAATCTACCTGATAAACGAAGAAAAAAAAATTAGTCATCATCCCTATTGCGACTAATAGAAATTCCATTTGAAATGGGTAACACACACATTTTCGAATGCAAGCTAGACAGGGGATTATAAAAATAATAATAACGTTTATGGTAACACAGAATAACGCTTATAAATGTAGTGTTAGTAAGTTGAATGAAAAAAAAAATATGTAAAAAAAAAACTTCATAAAATTATCTTCTTGTGTTGTAACTTTTAATTAATAAATAATGCTTTATTTTTTAAGCATGTAACTGCTAGATGTTTAAGACACCATAAATAAATAATGCTTCGCGTAAAACTGCTGTCACTTAATTAGACTCAACTAAACAAAAAAAAAGATTTTCTCATACGAAGATTTTTACTGTACTTGTGTCAGCCCAAGTGAGAATTTATGGGTTTTAGTAACAAAACTGGGGCAACTTTGCATCCTGAGGAGTACTCTCACCATTCTCGAGCCCTTTAAGTATAGCCAAACGCAGCAAAAAAACTTCTCAACAAACGACCATGAATTTTGGTCGCGTCCAAATCGTGTCTTTTGAATAGAAGCTACTAGAGAGTTTACGTAAAATTTCTGATGACGGAAAAAATATTAGCCATTACAGAAATTAAATTTATTGAAATGAAATTTATTTGTATATTTCACACAAAACAGAGTAGATACATTTTGGTGGTGATTTTCATTTAGTTCGTCCATTTCGCCAACGACAGGGCATGTGAATGTCAAACTTAATTTAATTGTCAAATTTATAAGTACTTATATCATTTTATAGCACAGTGTGACCTAAACCCGCACTTTACGCACGCTTTTCCGTGATCTAAGTTGCCTATTTCTGCACGGTGTGTAAATGAATTGACCAACTTCACTCATGTAGAAAAAATAAAAGGAAACACATTTAAATGTCATTTGGAGCTTAAAAACTCACAGCAAACAAATGACAGGTTAGGAATTCTTGTTTGAATTATACAAGTACAAAAAATAAAGCTCATTCCCGTTGTTTAATATATTGTTATGCCAATCAAGGAATAAACGTTCATGGATACATTGAAATTCTATTTCAATAGAATAGCCCCCCCCCCCCCGAACTCCCCCCCCCCTCTTGCCCGCGTCCGGGGCGGGTTTATGTCACACTTGCTATATAATAGTATACGATACTTGTGGCCTAAGTTGTCTATTACTGCCGTTCACGCCGTGCAGTAATAGGCAACTTAGGTCACGCGTATCGTAATGTACTATTCTTTATTCAAAGTTAATTTTCGTTTCTAAATATTCTCTAACTGAGTAAAAACATTTCGTTATTAGCCACATTTTTAAGCTTTTTTTTTAAAAAAGACAGCAACTGACGTATTCCATCTATTTTTATTCACTCTCAATTCAGTGTAATCCTGTAAGAAGAAAGTAAAATTAAGAAACAAAAATAAAGAATACTAACCGTGGGCATAAGAATCTTCCTGCAGAATGAGTCTCTGGTGGCGTTATAAGCGTGAGACAGTGGCCCACAACGGCCCACGTGTTGAGAGGCCGCTGTTCTAACTCGGTTCGCGTATTGGTCCACTAGTGAGGATACAACGCCCGATATTTCACGCGATATCTGAGGAAAAATGGCTTGTTTTAAGATAAATGTATATATTTATCTACACCCCCGCTTTAAAATGTCTATTAAATATTCTTGAACAGTTAGCTTATTGCCAAAATTAAAACATACAATGTCTTAATGAAAAAAAACATTAAAACACCCAAAGTGTTATAATGTTGTACTGAATTTCATAATACCACTTTTTCGCGATTTAAAACCCTTCCGCGCCAAGGGCTTACTTATCCGCAAGCTACAATATTCTGAATTTAATTGTTTGTTTTTAGGAATTAATTTTTGGTACAACGGGGTGTATAATGCAATTCAACTAAGAATAGGACCGTCTGGGCGCCATATTGTTACGTCATAGCTGTCAATTGAAACCAAATAGGTAGAGTGAGCAAAAAAATTGTTTAGAAATGTTTGGTTTTTATTCTTGAATTAGCAGAGTACTAAAAACGAATACCAAGTTTTTTTGCAAACCGTACTTTTCAAGCGACATTTGACAGATAGAGGTCATTGCATTGCCCATTCTTATTTGAATCGCATTATACCGATTTTGTTTTATTTTGGGGAGTCGAAAGCCATGTAACTTATCTGATTGAAAAAGGCTGTATTTAAGGGAGGCAAAATAAATTTCACCCGTGCAAAATTGGGGAGGGTTACATTAATTTTCGAATTTGGAACTAAGCCAGTATTCTTTACTTCATTGAATAAATAATAGTTTTTAGAAATGTTCCAAATTTTCTACCATTCACACTCAATAAATTCTTAAAAATTTAAGTAAATTAGAAGTTGTATGAAATATTAATTAAAACTTCAAAATTATATTTCCTTAAAAATACACCGCAATATAATAGGATATTTGACAAGTTTTAGAAAACGATCTTACGTTATTTACTAATGTTTATAGAGTCCATAAAAAGTGGATATTCATCATTATGTTGTGTATTTCGGTAAAAAAACTAAATCAAAAACTCCATTTTCAAGTTGCAGCGAAAAACGTATCTCTGGACAATATGGCGTCTCACTGGTGTGTGACGTCACACGACTGTCATTAAAACGTCAAACCATACAATCTAATGTCACTTTAACCGGAAGTTTACTTGCGTGTGACGTCATTTTAGGCTACACCAATCCCAATCGTTTTGGGTCACGTGACAAAAGACGAGAAAACTATTATCTTTATCGTGGGTTTTTAGTAAAATTATGAATATTTTTTCTGTAAAAATAGTAAAAACTCCTGCCAATATTCATTCTAAATACAGATGCTAACGATTGGCACTTTATTTTTAATACTGTCAAATACCCTATTATCGGTAAAATTGTTAAGTACTCGTTGTCTTAAGTAACATACATATTATTTGTTATATATGTTAGTACACACAGCACATAGTATATGAGATATAGTTACGTTCTGCACCAGCTCGGGCCCCTGGGTGTTGAGGAACTGCTCTGCCTGCGAGGTTTCATACATGAGGTAAGAGATGGCTTCCTTCAGCGACGTATGATTAAAGCGTAAGCCGTCGCGCAGTTTCGTCGCCGTCTCCTGAAAATTACACAAATGCCAATTTTGCTTAAATACCAAAGTAACCTAACGTGATTCCGTGTTATAAAAAACTATTAAAACCAATGAAAACGATTTAAAAACACGTAAACACTGTGTACGAGACGACCGCCTTACGATCGAAACAAGACATCGCAAGAAATAAAGTTTACGTGTGCAGTGAAACATCGAAACGGACTGATTTGTGAACTAATGAAAAATGTGTCTATAAGTGCAATTTCACATGTAACAGATGCGTACAGTCATTAAACATGATTGTAATAATAGAGGAATTTGCCTATAGTAACTAATTGTAAAATTGATAGTTCATAACGTTACTATGTCTCTTTCTAACCGATGATCTTATAAGAATTTACCTAATCGATCGCCACGACGCCAAGCGGTGGCGCTGAGAAACTGTATTGGAATCTGATAGTTCGGAACGATAGGAAAGATAGGGACGATAGGCTGTCTCTTTCTAGCAGTCCACCCCCAAAGTACGAGTCGGTAATCGCCAGCTACTGCTACAGCCCGACGTGCCGTACACACTGCTTGTCAAAACCAATATAATAAACAATTGCTTTTTCTTCTCGGTTAGTGTGTAAGCCTCCTCCTAGATAGCGCAGGCGCAGTTTTAAATCATGTCTAATACCTTGGGTCCTACCACCCATCGGAATTTGTATGGCTATAGCTATATCTTTATGAATGAAAATTTAATTTTGTTATTTTATGACAGCCGAAGGTTTTCAAATATAATAAAATACTCATGCTCAATTCCTTTATTAATATTGTTATTAAAATTTGTTCAATATTGCATGTTATATTTATGTTAAAATAAACTATACACATGGCTTACTCTAAGGCCCTAATGAAGTAAACATTGAGTATATTTTGTTTATAGTGCAGACTTTTTAGGGCAGTTAACGAAAGCGTGTTTTTAGTTTTTTAAACTATTAACTATTATTATGGTTTAAATCTAAAGAAAATGTAACTAGAAAAAAATCATGCAAAAATGCTTTAAAATAATAAAAATTATAACTATAATTGCTATTTCTTCTTTCAAATGTTTAATACTTGCAAAAGTAGATGGCGCTGCCTTGCAGCTTACGAATGGCTAGAAAGATTTCGACGCGGTCCGTAAGGGCCGCGGTAGCATAATTGGTCAGTGCATTCGCCCGGATTGCGAAAAATGCGGGTTCGAGTCCCGTCTGCTGCCTGGTTCGCGTGGATTTTTTTCTAGTTATATTTTCTTTAGATTTAAACATCAAGCAGTTACATGCTTTAAAATAATAAAAATTATAACTATTATTATGGTTATTGTACCTGCAGCGTGGCAGTGTCCTGCAGCAGGGGCTCCACAGTGGTCTGATGCAGGGACCTGAGTGTGGCCGCGGCTCGCCTCAGTTCCGGCGCCACTTGGGAGTATCCGGTTTGTTTCTCCACTGCGGCCGCGGTGCTGTCCAGCTGCGATGCGAGCGATTCCAACGAGAGAGACGTCATGTTCGTCTCCAGCTGTACGAACAAATAAATTATTATAATATACTAGCTGACCCAGCGAACTTCGTACCGCGATAAAAATAGGGGCAGGTGGTACAAGAGAAAATTTAAGGCTGTATGTATTTTTAATACTACATTTAAAAAATAAATTGTCCAAAAAAAATTTAACAGGTGTTTAACGTTGTGTTCTATCAATTTCCTGGGATAACATTCCTCCTAATCCATATGGGAACACTACGTTACAATATCCAATAGTTAGAATTTTGGCGCGAAGGCGCATTGTAGGTTTCAGAAAACTACGTTACAGGTGGACGACCATTATCACATAAGGATATGAAAAATAGAATTTCATAAAAATCGGTTAGGCCGTCTCAGGAGTATGGTAACTAACATTGTGACACGAGAATTTTATATATAAGATTGTCTTAAACTTTCATCGTGTCTGAAAGTAATTTATCTACACTCTTATCGAATAATCGAATAACGAATTTACAGATGATTTTATATAAAGACGTACTACATAAATTCGCATACGTAAAATTCAAAATTTAACTTAACTAGCTGTATCGTATATGTGGTAAGCTGTTATTACAAACGAGTAGAGTTACTATAGTCACGAATTTTTAAATACCAATTCCGCTCGAATAACATCCGAATGCCAATGCCGCTCCAACGTTTGTCAAACAGTGCCTATACCCAATTTAAGTATGAAGCAAACTTTTTCTATTAACAAGTAGGCGCGCAATTCCAAATAGCTCCACGTGTGTGTGATGAAAATTAGAACTTCCGTTCCGTTATATGTCTCGTAATTTTGAACTTTTTAACGAAGCTTATAACCTCCGTAAATACATTTTTGAACAAATGTGTTGAAAAATATTTTTTTAATCTATAAGGATTAAAGAAATATTTTTCATAAACTACTGTCATAAACGCTCTAGAACCAAAACCGCGAAAATACGGAGACGGATTTTACCAGAACACCGCGGGTCGCGACGTGAATGTTCGCGATAAAGGCCGAGTGATGCAGCTCATTCTAATATGAGCTTTTGTAGTGCGGCGTAAGGAAGAAAGTGCAACTTCACGCTTGTTTACAACTTATGCGCGTTGCCGACGTATAAGTACTACGTACGCACTCGCGGGTGCTAGTTAACTCTCAATTAAATTGGACTTTTCTAGAAGGCGTCGATTAGCGATATAAGCGCGATCGGCGCCGCGCTCCAGTTAGTTGGGTTTCAACAACGATTTCAGAACTCCTCGCAGACCGGACCTGCTATATTGCTAACAGCGCATTCAGAATTGTGCGTAGAGTCAAAGAAACAAAGTCTATATTCTTGCGCATATAGCAATAAGTCATAGAAATTTACGAGCTTGCATTTCGAACTGTCACAACTCTTTGACGCATGCGTGTGGTATGTTGGGTGATGGCGGCAGGTTATAATAAATACAAAGACGTAGATAGGTTGGTGTCCATTTATTGAAGAAGGCTTAATGGTACAAAACATACTTATTTATAATATTAGTGCACTACGTAGTTACACACACACACACTTATAAAATATAACACACAATATTATTACAAAACATCAGCATTTCACGTGGCCTACTTTCGTGTCATTCAATGTTGCGTTGTATTATTAATACATATTTATTAAATTATTTTCATACTATCACACGCCCCCCAAAAATCTCCATTACACCCCTCTCCTCAAAAAGAAAAAAAAAGTGTTACATTTTTTTTCAACCACATACATTCAGCTAAATATTATCATTATAAAGTTTCGTATTATTCTTATGTACTACGTACTCTCTATTATTTTTTAATATCTTTACATTAGGTGACAATTCCTCTATTACTTCATAAGGGCCGTTATACACTCTATCTAACTTATCTCTTATTTGATTTTTTACCAAAATTAAATCTCCTTTTTTATATGATATCGGGTAGCTGTTTTTATCAAATGTACTTTTTCTACATAATTTATTACTTAATAAATTTTTTCGCGCATCACACAGTGCTCTTTGTAGTCTATGTCGAAGTTCCTTAGGATAGTCATCATAGTTATATAAGGGAGTTACAGAGTCACTTAAGTTACTAGGTAAAATACAATTTTTTCCAAACACTAGCTCGTAGGGAGTATATTTTGTTTGCGTGTGTACCGAGGTGTTGAATGAGAAACACCAGTACGGAACCCAACTACTCCAATTGCTTTTGTGACTCTCACATTGTATTCTTAGAAAAGTGCCGAGATGTTTGTGAGTATTTTCTAACGATCCCATAGTTTCATGGTGATATGCGGTGGACTGTAATTTTTTAATACCTAATAAGCTACATATTTCGGTCATAATTTCGTTAAGAAATTCTGTTCCCTGGTCTGTAATTATTTCTTTTGGGATTCCATATCTAAGGATAAAATTATTTACAAAAGCTCTCGCTACTGATTCGGCGTCTTTGCGCTGCAAGGGATACGCTTCAACGAACTTTGTTAGGTCGCACTGTAGAGTTAGTATGTACCTATGATTGTAATCGTCAACTTGTAATGGTCCCATTATATCTAAACTAATTCTTTCGAAAGACGAATTAGGGGTAGTCGTTAATGACATAGGTTCCTTAATGTATCTATTGGTGTATTTATTTATTTGACAAAGCTTACATTTATTGACATAATTAACGACATCCTTTGTAATGCCTGGCCAAAAATAGTATTTTTTAATATTGTTTAGCATTCTATTTATCCCAGCATGCCCACTGGTGGGCAACAAGTGGAAGTCATTTAATATAACTATCTTTTCGTCCTCATTTCTGATACGCTTAACATCTTTAGTTATCAATAATCGCGGCCGACTCAACTTTAATTTTTTAATTGTACTTGCAAGTAACTTAATATGTCCTTCATATATTTTATTTTTGATAATAAGCAATTCTAAGATATTTAACTTACTACAAAAACTCTCTAAATCTCTCGCTAACGCTTCTACAGCTGATAGCGATCGAGCATTTAGATAAATTATTGACCGCTTTGGTACATATACACAATTTCCACTTGAGGACGTAAAAACTTCGTCGTTTCCGTCATATTTGACCGAGTGACTAAAACATAATTCGATAATATCCGGTGGTGGCTTGAGAATTTCCACGGCCAAGGGGTGATCAGTCCCATGACTATGCAAATTTTCAGGCTTACTATAATTCTCTAAGTCACAGTTTTTATTACGACTATTTTTTTTTGTTTGTGCTCTAGTAAGTACTGATACTAAGTGTTCACGCATATTTTTTAAATCATCCGATGTCACCGGGATGCGACTCAATGCGTCTGCAGCCGCGTTGTGTCGTCCTGGGACATAGCCTATCTCAAAATCATATTCCTCTAAATATAAACGAAATTTAGTTTGCCTACTGGAAGGATCTGTCATAGAAAATAAATAAATAAGAGGCTTGTGATCGGTTAGAATTTGGAATTTCCTACCATATAAATAAGGTCGAAAATGCCTCACTGCCCAAACTATGGCTAATAGCTCCAAGTCTATAATCGGATATCGCGTCTCAGCGGGCTTTAAACTTCTACTTGCGTATGCAATAACTCTATCATTCCCATTGGATAATATTGCACCTAAACCTGTTCTTGAGGCATCAGTCTGCAATTTAAAAATATTATTTTCAGAAAAGTCGGGATAATCCAAAACTGGGGGTTTTATTAAAGCAGATTTTAATTTTTTGAATGCTTCGTCACAATCAGCTGTCCAATTAAATGCAACATTCTTTTTACAAAGTTTATTTAGTGGATGTGCAATTTCAGCGAAATGTAAAATAAATCGTCTATAATAGTTAGCGAAGGCCACGAATCTTCGGACCTCGTCAACGTTAGTCGGTGTCGGATAACTTTGCAAGGTTGTTATTTTGCTTGGATCAGGAAATATGCCTTTACTTGTTATTTTATGTCCTAAGTATACTATCTCTGTTCGTAAAAATTCACATTTTAAAGGGTTTAGTTTTAAATTAACTTTTCTTAAGCGTTCTAACACAGAAATTAGGTTTTTATTATGATTTTCTATACAATTTCCTATAACGATACAATCGTCTAAATAAATAAAACATTGATTATAATTCAATCCAGACATAGCTATAGTCATCAATCGAGAAAATACGCTAGGGCTAGTTTTAAGTCCCATCGGACAACGCTTCATTTGGTATATTTTATCAGCTGTGAAAGCGGTGCACTTACGTGAATCGGGATGAAGGGATAATTGGTACATTCTATCTAAATGGAAAGCAGTGTATTTTCTTGAATTTTCATTTAAATTTAATTGATAATAACTTTGGGACAAATCTAATTTTGAAAAATACATAGAATGTGATAAGGAATCTAAAATATCTGTAATATTGGGAAGTGGAAATTTATCATCTTGAATTCTATTATTTAATTGCCTATAGTCAACGACGAACCTATACTTCTTTTCATTATTTTTGTCGGTCTTTTTCGGAACAAGCAAGACGGGACTAGACCACTCCGAGGTGGATTCCTCAATAATATCGTTGTCTAACATATCCTGTATTTGTTTACGTAACTCTGGTTTTAAAGAGTGTGGTATTCTGTAGGGTTTTATATAAACAGGAGTCGCATTATCCTTTAAAGTAATTTTATGCTCCATTAAATTAGTGACTGACAGTTTATCACCTGGGAGATGAAACACGTCCGCGTACTTAGCGCAAATAGACTCAATGCTAAGTCGTTCATCTTTGTTTAAATAACCTAGGTTAAGAAGCTCAAATAATGTTTTTACACGATTTACGGAAATTTCCCTTTCCGAAAAATTACAAACATCGAAATGATGCAAACTATATACTTCTAAATGAGAAAAATCATAAATTAGGTCATTTTCCGTCGTATTTAATATTCTAATCGGGATAAGCCCGTTTCTAGGCCTCGACAAAACACCTGCAATAAATACTCCCTCTCTTATTTCATTCGCAAGGACGACACAATCGTCGATTATATTCGTAGGTATGAACTTAATAG